ATTATGTCAAACAGTTTATTGTGAACATTATTAAGCAGTTGAACCTTTTAGAAAAAAGTAAAGAGCAAAAAGGAACTGTAACAATGATCAATTACAACCCAAGAAAGCCTGTCTATCTCCTTAAAACTAAACTCCACTGAGCTCTGTACCTATCAGACAAATATTTGAACAAAAAATTGATACAAATATTTCAAAAATCAAAAAGAAAAAACTTTTAGGTTTATTGAGTATTTATATAATAAAAACTAAACAGCAGACAGTAGTAGCAGTGTAGGGTCCTAGGAGAAGAATGGAGAAAGGAGAAAGGAGAAGAATGGAGAAAGGAGAAAGGAGAAAAGCGTTTTGATTGCACATCAGTAGTCCACTATTTCCTTTGTTGTGTATGCTAAAACAAAAACTGGTATCTTATCTTATATACAATGTATAAGATAATATTCTACTTTATATTTATTTTGCATGGAATATAGTACATGAAATCCATAGGGAACTTAATTTAAAAATTTTTTTTTTTGTTTCTTTTTTAGGTCATCCTAATATATATATATATATATATATATATATATATATATATATATATATATATATATATATATATATATATATATATATATATATATATATATATATATATATATATATATATATACATATATGTATATATATATATATATATATATATATATATATATATATATATATATATATATATATATATATATATATATATATATATATATATATATATATATATATATATATATATATATATATATATATATATATATATATATATATATATATATATATATATATATATATATATATATATAATTGGAAATCTAACAAGTACCACTATTTTTAGAACCCAAAAAACATAAAACTACACAGGTAAAAAATTGGATGCAGATAAGCTACATCATTTAAGCCATCTAAATCAAACTTTGTAGGAATTAAAAAAAATTATTAAACTGTATAAAACCTGTATAAAACCAGTATAGAAACCATGCAGTTTTTTACCTGATGTGAAATTTAAAAAGTAATTAAAAAACAATTAAATTACTCAAGGTATTAAGATAAAGTATTAAGGTAAGATATTAAGTTATTTCATTTGCATCTACTTTAAACGTAATTTTAAATTAGCACAAAGTATAGTTAGAGTTCATTCCAGTAAATACAACTTTCTTTTAAATTAATAATATAAAGATATGAAAAAGTATTTTTTATTGATCCCTACAAATTTCTTATAAAGTATTACTGTATGTGATTACTTTGAATTAAATATTAAGGTCGGCGAACATTTATTTTCCACAGTAAAATAATCTAGACAACCGTGTAAAAAATATAAAACATTTTTATCTACAGAATCTTGTATTTAAATAAATTTTTGAGTTTATGGAAACAAGATTCTATCTCCAGTAAAAGTATTAGGCAGGCTTTCATCAGCATCTAATGGACAAACTGAAACTAAAAAAGCCATTCCATAAGTTATTTGAGCTATATAAATGAAAATGTAACTTCACTAAAGAAATGAACTTCCAGTATAAGCATAATCAAACAAAATAGATGTTACAATGGTCAAGGAAACACCATTCAATGTACACTTAGTTTCAAACCTGTGAAATTTAATGTTTTTAGAAAGACAGAACTAACATAAAAAACAGACGAAGTAGAGTAAATTAGCTCAATTGAAATATTTAATCCAAAAAGTGAACAAATATGACGTGGACCCAAATATGGATTCTAAACAATATTAACTGAATGTTTCTACAGACCTACAAACTCTGCAATTAATTTAAATTTTAGTCAATCGATATCAAAAAAATTGATATATAAAAAAAATTAGCATTTAAGTAATAGGCTGCATATAGATGTAAATTGATTGCAAAAAATACTTATGATGATAAGTATTTTTTGCTTTTACAGGTTTTTGTTGACTTTTGAATTTATTTTGTTGAAAAGTGATTTTAATTTTCTGATTTTACAGAAACAAGTACCTTTTGTTACAAAATGTATTCTTTCCAATATTTCAAAAAGCTGAAAAACGAATCTTCTAGCAAACTTGATCCTACTTACAGAAATGTTTTTAAACTTGTCAAATTATGTTTTTGAACTTGTATTAAAACCGCCTTTCAGTAAGATCAAACATGCACACATCATTTTGACATTTTTAGAAGTATAAATGGTTGACTGTTATGTTTAGAAGTAGATATGGTGGCCTATTATGTTTAGAAGTATACATGGAGGCCTGTTATGTTTAGAAGTATACATGGTGGCCTGTTATGTTTAGAAGTATACATGTTTAGAAGTGTGGCCCAATATTATCTCTCAATTTAAAAAATAAGGACAATGACAACAAATGAGGATTTCATCTGAAAATAAAACAACTTATTATCAAGAAAAAAAAGACTGTCAAAGATTAAAGCATTAAGTAGAAACTAAAATTAAATAAAAATAAACATAATTAAACTTTGTTGAACTTAACTATGTGAATTAAAATTCGCATAATAAAGTTCATCAATAAATTTGTAATAAAATTTACACAATGAAGTTCATAAAAAGATAAGCTTAAAGACAAACAATGGAATTTGAAGCTCTCTTTGCTCCTAACAAAACATTAGCAAAAATGTTAGACGGAGGCATGTCTGTAGATAATTACAAATACAATCAGAAGTTATTATTGGAAAACAGTCAAAACGCATATCCAACTTATTACCTCATCTTGAGGCTAAAAAGAACTGATATCCTGTTTAAAAATTCTTGAATATTACTAATACCATCTTGAATATTACTAATACCATACCATCGAAATAAAAATACAATGCAAAATTAAAAAAAAAAAATTTCAAACGTGGTTTTAATGGCAGCACCAGACACAGTTATAAGTTGTAAAAAAACGAAAGTTGAGAGAGAGTTCAATAGCAATGAAGTCTGGGGAAAAAAACTGAATGAATAAAAGTTTAAGAGAATGAAGAGATGCAGTAAAAGTTAAAGAACATGAAGAGATGCAGTAAAAAATGCAACTTAACTGAACAAAAAGTCTGACGAGAATGAATTTTGGTTGATGGAATTAGAGATATTTTGAGCAGCTACCATAACAGTGTTGAAAAGAGAAAAAGATGCAACCTTACAAACATGGGAGTGTGGCTCAAGAATGGCAGATAGAGCTTGTTCAATAACATCTACAATTGGTTTTTGAACTTTGTCTAGAAGAGAAAGAGCATTGTTAAAAGGACCAAATCTGATAGCAGTATTCCCTACAGAGATAAATAAGAGATTTATGGAGGTAGAAAATGGAATCAGGAGTAAGAAAATGAATACAACCTCAGCAGTTGCTAACTTTACAATAAATTGTATATATGGTTTACATGAATAATATAATTATGAGTCAATGTATATTTAGTTTATACTTAGGTAAAAGTTACTGGAAATGAAGAAGAATGCTGGAGAATGACTTTAATACTGTGGTTAAAAAGAAATAATTTAATAATCTTAAGCAAAAGCCAGTGCCTTGCCGCCTCCACCTAATGCACAATAGAACCGCTCAGTTAAAGCAGTTAGCAAGTCAGCTATAGAGCAAGAAGATCAAAACCATATTGATAATCAGAGTTATTACACTCAAGATTAGAAATTTATTAAAGACTTAGAGATACATCTAAGCATTAAATTCAACTTTTGAACAAGAATTGATTCAAAGTACCATGTGAGACGTTGATGATATGGTCAAATAAATACAATGTTGATGATATGGTCAAATGAATACAATGTTGATGATATGATCAAATAAATACAATGTTGATGATATGGTCAAATGAATACAATGTTGATGATATGATCAAATAAATACAATGTTGATGATATGGTCAAATAAATACAATGTTGATGATATGGTCAAATAAATACAATGTTGATGATATGATCAAACAAATACAATGTTGATGATATGGTCAAATAAATACAATGTTGATGATATGGTCAAATAAATGACAAGTTTTTTTAAATATAGAGCAAAAAAAAGACATTTTAAATACTAAATTTGTTTTTCTCTTTTTCTGTTGTAAAAAATTAAACTCATTTTTTGATTATGATAATTATAATAATATACTTTTTTTTTTTAATTTTTTTTTTTTAATAAAACTTTATTTGTAACTGAATGCCATTAATAATTTGTATGACCATGTTTACAACCATTTTACAGAACTCATTACCCAACATAGCAACAGGTTATCCATTGTGGCATTTTGCTAAACCTGTTAGTCATTTAAAAGACGTTTAATAAATATTATAATAAAAACATTTTATAAAAAATAGACAGCTATGACACATATTTACTGAATGAACTTGATCTTCTGTTATTGTGCTGTCTTTAGCTTCATTTCCACTAATTAACGATAAATTTTCTAAATGTAAAGAACATTTATTTTCACTAATTTACAATAAGTTTTTTAAATGTAAAGAACAATTAGTATATAGATATAGCACTAAAAGAACACCATTATTTATACTGGAAGTATTCTTTTCAAAATTTTTAACTCTATAATTTGACTGCCAAAATTTCAACAAAATATAAAATCTAATTAAAAATTATTACATTCAAATTTTGATCTTACTTAAGGTAAAATAATTTTTTTTTTGCACAAGGTAATTTCCCTTAACCAGGAGGTTACTTTTTTGCAAAATATTATGATTTTGATATTAGCATCAAAAAGTTACAATTTGATCCATGCTTGACAGAAATTCATTTAGAATGTAAAAAAATGTTTACCCGTCACAGACACGCACAGAACGTATATAAATCTCAAACTTAAAATGTATTACAAATATTATGTTACAAAAAATAAAAACAATATTATAAACAAATATTAATCAATATAATATAAATATCAATTATGCTAATTGAATCTTTTCATTAAACTTTTTTTTTTTCATTTATTCATTCATTCAACTATAATCCAACCTTTTCACTAACTTTTTTTATACTAACAACAATAACTTTTTTATACTAACAACAATAACTTTTTTTATACTAACAACAATAACTTTTTTTATACTAACAACAATAACTTTTTTTATACTAACAACACTAACTACACTTCTACTAACAACACTAACTACACTTCTACTAACAACACTAACTACACTTCTACTAACAACACTAACTACACTTCTACCAACAACACTAACTACACTTCTACCAACAACACTAACTACACTTCTACTAACAACACTAACTACACTTCTACTAACAACACTAACTACACTTCTACTAACAACACTAACTACACTTCTACTAACAACACTAACTACACTTCTACTAACAACACTAACTACACTTCTACCAACAACACCAACTACACTTCTACCAACAACACTAACTACACTTCTACTAACAACACTAACTACACTTCTACTAACAACACTAACTACACTTCTACTAACAACACTAACTACACTTCTACTAACAACACTAACTACACTTCTACTAACAACACTAACTACACTTCTACTAACAACACTAACTACACTTCTACTAACAACACTAACTACACTTCTACCAACAACACTAACTACACTTCTACTAACAACACTAACTACACTTCTACTAACAACACTAACTACACTTCTACTAACAACACTAACTACACTTCTACTAACAACACTAACTACACTTCTACTAACAACACTAACTACACTTCTACCAACAACACTAACTACACTTCTACTAACAACACTAACTACACTTCTACCAACAACACTAACTACACTTCTACTAACAACACTAACTACACTTCTACCAACAACACTAACTACACTTCTACTAACAACACTAACTACACTTCTACTAACAACACTAACTACACTTCTACTAACAACACTAACTACACTTCTACCAACAACACTAACTACACTTCTACCAACAACACTAACTACACTTCTACCAACAACACTAACTACACTTCTACTAACAACACTAACTACACTTCTACTAACAACACTAACTACACTTCTACCAACAACACTAACTACACTTCTACCAACAACACTAACTACACTTCTACTAACAACACTAACTACACTTCTACTAACAACACTAACTACACTTCTACCAACAACACTAACTACACTTCTACCAACAACACTAACTACACTTCTACCAACAACACTAACTACACTTCTACTAACAACACTAACTACACTTCTACTAACAACACTAACTACACTTCTACCAACAACACTAACTACACTTCTACCAACAACACTAACTACAATTCTACTAACAACACTAACTACACTTCTACCAACAACACTAACTACACTTCTACCAACAACACTAACTACACTTCTACCAACAACACTAACTACACTTCTACCAACAACACTAACTACACTTCTACTAACAACACTAACTACACAAACAACAACTTTTTAAAGTTTTATTTAGGTTTTTAGGCAGTTTCGGCTGTTCTAATGTTATATCTACTGTTTATCAAAATGCTCACAGAGAAAGATTCTGATTATGTGAAACTTCCATCAAAAGGAAATCTTTTTTGAAAAAATATCATGAATCATTATCATTCATTTGCAAATAGATTTATTTAAGTAAAGATATACTCAACAAACTTTTATTTTTTATTTTGTATATTCTGATTTACTCTAAACAAGGCTGTAAGCAATCACTATTAAGTTGGGAGTTACTAAAAAAAAAACGAATAGAGTTATTGAGCAAGGAAACAGTTGACAGAAGACTTAAAAAATTGTAGGTTGTATGAGTCAGGAGAACATGAAGATGGGAGAAAGTTCCAAAGAGTTAAAGTGGCGGTGATGGGGGAGGGAGGGGGGAACTAAACAAGTAAAAGTTTTTAGAGCATGTAGGGACAGATACAGCAAGCAAATAAAACTTTGCTGAATGACGAGTCAAGCAAAAATAAGTTTTAGTTAATGGAACTAGAGATGATATCTTCTTTGAGCAACGACCATGATAGTATTTGTAGAAAAGCGAAAGAGATGCAACTATACGACAATGGGAAAAAGGCTCATGCTTAGCAGATAGAGTGGGTCTAACTATGTTTTCAATGCATTTTTATATTTTACTTTTTGTAAGATCAAGTCCCAACCTAAAACATCCTTAAACATTTTATCCTAAAACAGCAATTTTTTAGCAACTAAATAAACTAATATCAACTTGGAAAAAATAGTACTAACATATTTGTGCACTGTTTATCAAATTTTATCATACTCTTTTATTATGTACTATTATATTATATTTTATATACTTATATATGTTATATACATTTAACCAACATTAAAAAGCTTACTATGCAAATATATCAATTATATTTAACAAAATTTAATTACCAAACCTTTTATAAGTAGCTGCCAAAACTCATCCTTTAATTTTCCACAGGTTTCTTCTTTCAAGTCATATAAAAGGGCATTATAAACTTTGGACACTCTTTTCTAAAGATAGAAAATATGATAAAGTTTTAGACTTCAAAAAAAAATAATTTAAAAACACTTCTTTTAAAAAAAAAAAAAAAAAAAAATTATTAAAAGTATAACATGTTATACATTATACTTTAAAAGTATAGCATCTTATATGTTATGGTTTTTTTCCAGCAATTTAACTTAACACCTAAGAAAAAAAGGTAAACCTTATTTCTATCCAATAATACATGTTTATAAATATAAAACTTTGCTTAACTGTAAAACATATACCCCGTCATCTAAAGGGTAAGAAAAATAATTGTTACATAAAAACATACAGCAATGCTTTGTTCTCTAAGAGTTTTAGTTGCTTGAATAGCTTTTATGAAATATTGAGATAAAAAAGAGTTGAGAACGAGTTTCAAGATGCTTTTCCTCATTTGCTCGCACACTAAAATAATAAAACATAAACAAATTTTTTTAATACTTATAATTAATAATTAATTAAATTATAATTAATAATTAATCAAACAATAGTAATGGATATAATCAAGAAAATAAAGAGAAAACAAAAAATAACAAAAATATGTAATAACAATATAAATATTAACAACATTAATAATAATGAAAAGTATAAGATATAGCTAGCTTGCTTGCTGTAATTTTCAGCTCAACAAAACATTTAATCAACTTGACAAAACCACAGAAAAAAAAAACAGAAAATGAATAAAAACCTTCTTGCTTATTTTATTAACAGAATGGTTTTCTTTTTGTTTAAGTTTTTTTAAAGTGTTTTTAAAGTTTTTTTAAAGTTTTTTTAAACTCCCCAAGGATGAGCAGACAACTACAATTGAGGAAACCATGGAAACCACTAATTTTTTTATTATTATTTACTTTTTTATAACTGTTGTTACAACGCTTTTGTGCAAAAATGATAAGTATAGTAAAATTATAAGTATAAATTTAAAAAAGTATACTTAAGTATAAAAAATTATAAGTATAGAAAGTATATTTAAGTATAAAAAATTACAAGTATAGAAGTTTAAATGATATTATAGTATTAATATTATCACTTTAATGTTATATAAAAATAAAATAAAAAAAGATAAATCAGAGATTCTTATACATAATGCCATTGGTAAATTTGGAATTTTCAAGTCAAAAACAGCTAATATATGACTATTGTATAATATGTAATAATAACTAGAAAATATCCCATACCAATCATTCCATTATGCCAAACATTGTCACATTGTGTCAAACATCATCAAATCATGTGCAAACATCATCGCATCATGTACAAATCATCATCACATCATGTGTCAATCATCATTACATGATGTGTCAAACATCATCACATCATGTGTCAAACATCATCACATCATGTGTTAAACATCATCACATTATATGTCAAACATCATCACATCATGTGCCAAACATTGTTGAAAATCTTGACTTCCTTACCATGACCATGTTCATGGTCATGGTAACATGGTCATGGTAACATGGTCATGGTAACATGGTCATGGTAACATGGTCATGGTAACATGGTCATGGTAACATGGTCCTGACCATGCTGTTTAACTAGCCTTTAACATGCTCTTTAACATGTGTAAAAAGAAGTTTATTTTTAAACCATCTGCTCTTGGATAATTACCATTAACCACTAAACATCTTATGTTTGCTCTTACATTACTCATACTTGGCTCCCATAATATCAGGTAATACCACAATACATAATACTCATTACAAACTCGCTGCATTTTCTGCATTTATATAATATTAAATCCCAAACAATCATGGTATTGATTGCTATTGAGAGTCAAGAAAACAATTGCTGAAAACCCATCCTCTCTTTTTTGTATATCCTCCCAACTTGTCTTTTATTTACACAGGCAACAGGGTGTGAATAGGCTAATATTTTAAAGAACAATTCTTGAATGGTAGCAAATACAAGTGGTAGTGTAGACTAGTGGTAGTGCTGCTAAACTTTTTCAATTACCAGGAAGAGTTAAATTTTTTGAAAAACAAAAGTCGATATTAGCCATCAAAAGTGGAATGTAATAAAAAAAAACTTTAAACCTTAAATAAGTGAAAAAAAGTCAAAATTCAAAATAAAAATAAAAAAACTATTTTTTAATTAAGCTTTCTTTGGTAAATTAACAATAAAAGAACAACACTGGAGTTAAATAAATGGGAAAAAAAACAACATTGGAATGAAATACAGCAGCAATGGTGATTAATTATAATAACAGTAATGATGATAACAATGATACGAGTAACAACAACAATAACATTTAAAACAAATGATAAATTTTCAAGATGAACAACCTAAAAAAAACTATGTATGACAACAGCATTAAATAAATTAAAAAAAAACAAAAAACCTTCAACAAACTTGTCATTGTCAGCATTTTCTATCAATGTTAAGAAATCATTAACCGGATCAGCTGTTCCAACCTTCAAAAAATATTTGTTATGAAAAAACACTGAAAAACATATTTTCAACAATTTGAAACTTATAACTAATAGAAAAAAAACTAACCTCCTTTAAACAAGACTTCGTTAAACTTGATAAAAAGTCTCTAGATTCATTATCTCCCATATTGTTATCATTATATTCTGTATCATTAATTCTATTTTTAAAAAATATTTAAAATTTTGCTTCAATGCTATTAGCATAATTATATAAAACTTTTTAAAAAATTTTATATTATTTTGAAAAAAATTCTTACCCACCCTGTTGGAACATGTTGACATTTTTTTCTTTTTGTTTTAACTCTTGCAAAGGGAAATTTTTCTGTGCAAATAAAATCGAAAGATAAAATTAAAAATGGAAAGATAAAATTTCCATTTTTAATGATATAATAAGTTATTATGATTGAACATATCAGCAATGACAATTAACATACAAAGTTTAATTTTGAATTAAACTTTATTTAATTCAAAAGATTATAAAAATTCATAAGAGTAAAAAATTTCTTTCAATAAATAATAATAATAAAATTTGCAAACTTAAATATATATTTTTGCTGGTTAAATATATAAAAAGTATAAAACTTAACTAATTTAAAGAATATATAAGTTTTTAAAAATATAAATAAGTTATATTAACTGCTCAACTATAGACATAATTTTTAGTGTTTACCATTCTAGTTGCTTAGCAATATAATATTGCTTGTTTTTTTAAATTTTTATGGCAAAAACAAAAAAATAATTAAAAATTGTAGGAGGTCAAATTATAGTATCAGATTATCAAAATAAATCATCCAGATAAATTTAAAAGCTTATAAAAGTATTGCAATCTTGTATAATTAAGAAGCTTAGTAGATATATTTTTGTATATACATATATGCTAAGATGCTTAGTAGATATAGAGCTTCAAGGATGTCAACTGACAGATTAGTGAGACATGTAAAGAAAACTATTGAGAAAAACGCCAAGCTTCCATCATTTAGAATCATAGAAGAGTTACAATATAAAAATATTCACCTTTTAGAATGGTATGGGGTTACTTCTCTTTTGTTTTTATGAACTATTTTGATACAAATAGTAATAAAAATTGTTACCATTGGAAAAAATTATGGGTAGAATAAAGCGTAAACTAAAACTGACCGGAAAAAATGGAACGAAAGAAAAAAATTTGACACCATTTTTCAAAGCAATAAAAATAAAAGAATTTTTGTAATCCCAAAAAAAAATTTTACAATTATTTTTTTAAAGAGGTTTTAGTATATATAAAGAGATATATTTTAGTATGTATAAAGAGATATATTTTAGTATGTATAAAGAGATATATTTTAGTATCTATAAAGAGATATATTTTAGTATGTATAAAAAGATATATTTTAGTATGTATAAAAAGATATATTTTAGTATGTATAAAGAGATATATTTTAGTATATACAAAGAGATTATATGATTTATTTTAGTGATGTTATCTCACATTGTGAGATAACATCACTAAAATAGATCATATAACCTCTTGATTGATTATTACCTTGATTATACTTGCTTGTTCTTGTGCATTAGCTAACATCTCAGGAATAACTCTCAATGAACTAAATAATCAAAATTTATAAATTGTATTAAAATGTTATCTTTTTTTGATCATAAAAATCATAATTAAATAAATTTAAAACAATTTTTAAAAATTAATTAGTTTTTAATGTTTTAAAAATATTGAATAATATATTCTCAATATAGATGAAAAAATCTCAATTTATTGAGATTTTATTATCTATATTGAGACTATATTATTCAATATTTTTAAAACATTAAAAACTAGTTAATTTTTTAAAATTGTAACTTGATTGATTAAAAGTAACTTGATTGTCTTAAAAAAAATGAGAATGCAAACATCAATTATCAAAATACTTGCAGTGCTGATGTTTGGGCAGATTTTGTTAACAAAGAGAAAGACATTACTATCAAAGAGAATAATGCTGCTTTATTTGCCAAAATTGCAAAAAAACAACAAGAAGAACAGAATTTTAAATAATTTAATCATAAGTGGTCTTACTGAGTCATTTAATTTGGAGGATGATAAAGTGATTGATGAAGTTCTGACCATCTTAAAAGTGTCTTATGATGATGTAAAAGTAAAAAAAGCTAAAAAAGAAAAATACATCACTTCCTACTCCTATTTCTAATGGGATCCCATTAGAAATAGGATATTAAATGATGTATTTTTGAGTCCCCGTTGGTGTTAATTAAATTTAAGGATTATGAAAAATCTCAATTAGCTTTAAATAATGCAAGAAAGTTAAAAAATAGTTCTTGTTTCACAAACGTTTATGTCAGACCAGACCAAAACCAAGAAGGAAAGGATAGCTCTGCCTAAACTATATGCTAAATGTAGAATTAGAAATAACGCTCTTCCAAATTCATTTGAAGGTCTGTAAGGGAGGCAACTTAATTGGGGCATTAGAGATGGAAAAAAAGGTTTCTGGCCTGTGCAATCTGCCTCAATTCGATGGATTGAATGAAAAGAATGAAACACCAAACAAAAATGCTTATATTCCTCTAACTCTACCTTCTACCTTTTACCTCTTATCTACCCTTTTTCTCTCTAACTCTACCGTCTACTTATTCTTTATCTGAACTCAAATGTTTTTATTTTAATACACGTTTTTAGAAAATAAGTGAGATGAATTCCAAGCTAGAATTGCATCATTGAATTACCCACATATTATTGCAATCACAGAAATCTGGCTCACTATATTTAACAAATCTAGACAATTAGACTGCATGCATTTGAAATTTCGTGGAAGTGGTGTGGCCATATATGTTAGAAAAGATATGCCTTCATTTGAATTTGTTCTTCTAGTAAATTTAAAAACAGTATTTGAGTCTTGTACAATAAACAAAATCATCTGGTCAAAAAACTTGTGGCTGATGTGGTATTTAAGTTTAAGAGTGAAATCATCTTTGCTTGAAAATCTTGCCCAAAAAACTTCTACTCTATGTAGAAAACAACATATTGTTTTTGGCAATTTCTTCTCTGAATAGATGGATGTCCTGAGTGGTGTTCCTCAAGGATCGGTGATAGGGCCTCTACTATTATTGCTATTCATAAATGATATACCAAAACTAGTTAAAAATACTTGCAAATTTTTTGGTCAACGAGTTTAAAAAAATTTGGTCAACGAGTTTAAAAACAATTATGACAAACGGACTCGTTGTCTTTTGATTTGGTCTACTAAAACCAGTTGTTGTTAGACACTTTAGTTAGGCTCATAGAAGTTAAACTTCTAATGTAGAATATTACTATAATAATAATAATAATAAAGGATGTTTTTGGTTACGCTAGGTTTGGCTGAGCTCGCGATCTTTATTTTTATTTTTTGCTGTCTTTTTTTTCTTGAAATTAATTTAACACCAATGAAGGAAACTACAACTCTAACACTACTACTTTTAAACAATGACTTTTAACAATTGTTAATAAACATATTTTATTTAAACTATTAAATATGATGCTATTCTTATACTTGAATTTATAAAAGTATGATAAAGTTATAACAAAGTATGATAAAGTTATAACAAAGTATGATAAAGTTATAACAAAGTATGATAAAGTTATAACAAATTTTATTCTTTTAAAGCAATTTTCATAATTAGCACTTTAAACAATTGAAACTTCTTTTTATTTTATTAACAATTGTATTTTTATAGAATTTTTTGGAGTAACTATTTTTAGAAATTTATTCCTCAGTGCCTATATGCATTAATAAAATTTTTTTTAAACTATTTTTTTTGAAAAAAATTTTTAATACACTTTTAATTAGTTTTAAACAAACAAAATAAAATCATTAAAATTGACCAATTTGATCCAAGAAGTGTGCAGCTGGATTGAATGTAGATTTACCTAAAACTATAAGTTATCATTCCCAAAAAATATTTTAAAAAATAAAAAAAGCCTAATTGGCCTCGTTCTGCTCATCAAGTGAAATCAAATTAGTTAAAATTAAAATTTTAGTTCTTTTTCATCAAATTGAAAAAGAACTAAAAAAATTAATAAGTAAGCAAAAGTAAAAAAAATAAAAAAAGAATAAAAAGAAAAAACAGACACAAGAGAAAACAAAGGACCAAAAAAAGGCACACAAAAATTTTGAAATTTTTGCTTTTTTAAGAATTAATAAAATAAAATAAACTTTTAAAATTAATAGTGTCATCATTGATATAAAAAAAGTCAAGATTAGTGTTTCATAATGGAGTTTTAGTATTTCAAACTAAAGAATTATTCAAAAGCTTCAATAAAGAATATGATTTTTTTTTACAAGAAAGATAAACACATATACAAAATATACACTTTAAAAATTTTTACAACATTGAAAATTTTATGTGTATCTTTCTAGCACCATTAACTAACGCCAGATAATAAAATGTAATGTGTACAGTGTCTCAAAAAATTATCCGACCACACATTTTTTTAAATATTTTTTCTAAAAAAAGTGCTTTTTGTATATTTCGACTTTTTTGGTAAACTCAAGATTAATAAAAATAAAACATTTTTTTAAATAGATTATAATATATTTTTAAATAGAAAATAATATTTTAGTGTAAAGTATGAATCACAAAGTTTTCAGTCTTAGAATAAAGGAACTTGGGTCATTTTTTTATTGTCAAAAAAATATTTGACCAAACATATTTTTTGTTCTATAATAAGTTATTAAATAACAAAACAGTTATTTTAACACTTTGTAGGGCCTCCCTTTGCTTGGATTACAGCTTCTAGATGTCTAGGCATTGCTTTGACTAAAGATTTTGTTTCTTCTGGTTGAATCTTTTCCCAAGGTTTCTTTAATTGCCACTTTGAGGTTTTTTTGGAAAATGACCGATCTCTGATTTTTTGGTCTAAAACTTCCCAAAAATGTCCAATGGGATTAAGGTCCGGTAATTGTGCGGGCGATTCCAAGACCTCAATATTATTTTCAGCAAACCACTCATTGGTTTTAGTGGCACTATGCTTGGGATCGTTATCTTGCTAAAATGTAAAATCCAAAGTTTTCGAGCAGATGACTTCAAATTTTGCTTTAAAATGTTTCTGTATTGCACCTGATCCATTATAGTATCTATAAATTTGAGTTTTTCAACACAGTTTTTCCAGCCATTGAACCCCATACCATCATGTAACCACCACCATACTTGACAGTTCCTCTCACGCAGCTCAATATGTAGGCTTCTCCGGCTTTTCTCCAAACTTTTTGGGCTCCATCAGATGACTTTAAGTTGAATTTTGATTCATGGCTCCACAGGATCTTTTTCCAGAAACTTAACGGCATGTTTTTGAACTTCTTAGCAAACTCATGTCTTCATCATGTGTTTCTTACTCAAATATGGTTTATTACATACAAGTCGTCCTTGAAATCTCTGGCATTGGATACAATTTCTGATTGTCTGATGGGATAATTTAATTCCATAATTCTCTTTAGCTAGCTCAGCCAGTTTTCGAGCAGAAATAAAGCGTTTTTTTTGACTTGTATAATTCAGTTTCTATCAAAACTCTTAGAAGTCTTTTTTTTTGCAACCCTGTCCTTCTTTTGTGGCTGTTGTTCCGATCAAATTATACTTTTTCATTATGTCGGATACTGTATTATGAGGAATTCTAGTCTCTTGCTGCACCTGACGATAGATTTTATTCTGATTGACTAGATCAACAGGTAAATTTCTCTGAGAAACAGTCCAGTGACGTCTACCTCCAACCATTTTACTTAAAAAAATATGAAACCTTTTTTTTATACAAAACTTTTTTTTTTACTACAAAAAAACAGTTTTTTGTTATGCAATTTCATTAATTTGTATAAAAATTTGCTAAAATATTTCAACAAATTTCACATAAAGTTAATTAAACTTACCTAAATATCGCTTGGTCAGATAATTTTTTTACAAGCCTATTCAATACTAAGTTTCTTTTAGGACAAATAATAAACCAACTAAAGCATGAATTAAAAAATATGAACGCTAAATAACATACTATTCCCAATAGAATTAAAATGACAAACAAAGTAAGTACCGCTATTCATTGTTTTTAGTATAATTTAGAGCGTAAACATTTTTTTTTGTGAAAAACTTGTTTGGTTGGATAATTTTTTGAGACACTGCATCTTTTTAGCACCATTAACTACCACCAGATAATAAAATGTTATATGTATCTTTTTAGCACCATTAACTACCACCAGATAATAAAATAAACTTTTACAAACATTTTACAAATTCATTCACAAATTTTAAATTCATAAAAGATGCAAAACCAGTAAAAAAAAACATTTATATATTTTAAAACAAACAATAAGGTTAATTTGTTTTGGTTATTAAGGTGCCCTAAGAAGATCTAATGATCTTGTCACAGAGCACCGCAAAAGAGCATTTGTCACAAATATGACCAAACCAGGTATCAAACCTTGGATCTCTTGATTTTAAAGCTTTAAAAACAGGGAATGACAACATCAACTGCTGTTCAAAAAACAGCTTAAAAAATATTTCACAACAACCTCATAGCAAATAAAAACATTTTAAAAAAATTAGATAAACAAATATGAGTGACAAAACACTAAAGCTTGGGTAGCTGAATACCTATGTATATTTACATTTTTAGTGTATATTCATGAAACATGCATACCACAGTTTATGAAATAAAAAATTAAAATTAAAATCACAAAAAACCTTGCAATATATTCTTCCACCTCTGGTATTGTTGTGTCATCGGGATTTAATGCACGATGTTGAATGCACTGTTATTTAAAGCAAATAAATAATAATAATTTAAAAAGATAATTTACCATTAATATTTTAAGAATAAACTACTTTTTTTAAAATAAAAACAATACTTGAAACTGTCTTTGCATATAAGGATTTACCAAATCTTTCGGATTAAATAACTCTCTAAAAAAACAGCAACAATTATAAAACAACTCTTGCTTTTGTGAACTTTGATGTATATATTAATGATTAAATTTTATTTTCATAATCTTTAAACTTTGTACTTTCATGGTTTCATTGTAAATTACTTTGCCATGAACAGCATAATTAAAATCATATAATAAACATAAATAAAAATCATTAAAAATAATATTTTAGTTCTAGGATACTAAATTAATGCTAGTATGATAAATTAAGATAAAAAATTTAAACAAAAAAAAACAAAAAAAAAGATAAACATATTCAATATTTTCATGATACATGTTTAATATTGGAAAACTGTTCCACGAATGAGCTTTTCTTTTATATTTATATTTATTTCCTTAGTAATAATATTGATATTTGAATTAAGTTTTAAATTATGAACTTTGATAATGATTATAATTATGATGATTAACATCACAAAATAAAAGTAATAAAATATTAAAATATGGGAAAAATATTTAAAATTATGGAAACAACCTAAAAATTAAAAATACAATTTTAATCCCGGTCTGGTGCAGGTTAGTGCCTAAGAAAAAGTTTCCTGTTTAACAGTTGTTCAGAAAACAGTTATCCTTCTTTTATTATTCTACTCTATTATTATCTTCTATTATTCTTTTGAATTATTACTTAAAAACTCAATTAATACTTTTAAAACTCCAGTCTCTATTAATATTTCTTATTAATATTCTTCATTCCTTATAACTATTTCCTATTAATATTCTTCATTCCTTATAATTATTTTGGGAATAAAGCAGCTATATCAATCCCAGGTTCTAGCCGATAGAGTTGATATCTTTAAGCATTATAAAGAAAAAAGAAAAAACAAATACAGATAAGATCAATAAATGAACAAAAAGTTTTTTACGTATCATTCTTTATGAGAGTCATTGAATCTATAAATGAATCCATTGCTGCAATTGCTTCTTCTACAATTAAGTGAATTAAGATAAAACTATATATAAGTATAAAATAGATAGAATAATAATAAAAAAAAAAAATCAATTATGTACCTGATGGTTCTTTAACATTCTTAAATGAAGCAAACTGATAGTGTCTGATATCTTCTTTAAATGGTAAAGCAATAAATAAAAGACTCTAAATAAATAATAATAATAAACCAACATATGTTCATTGTACATACATACATATATTAGTTACAATATATTATGAATATAACAGAAACAACATTAAAATATTAAAATAAGTGATAAGTTAAAAATAAAATTAAACAATGAGAATAGTGTCTTTAAGTGATCAATTTTAATGACTACCAGACTTATATTATCAATTCTATTAAAACAAAGATAATTTTGATTAAAAATCAAAAACTAGAAAACATACTTCATAAGAGCTCTTTATATTAGGAGTTAAAAATCCAATTTTTGGATCATTATTGCTCCTTGATACATAGCGAACAATTGCCACCATATTTTTTTCATCTAATGCACGACACAGAGCAGAGAAAGCTACAGCTGCATACTTTGCAAATTAAAAATGTTATTAAAATAAAACATAAATGAAGCAAATTGTTTACTTATTATTATAATGAAGTAAATTATTTCAATTTAATATGATAATAGTTATAATAGTATGAACTACAATTCTAACTAATAATAAATTATAGTCAATTTTATACATTTAAATCAAGTAATTGTTAAATTAAAAATAATTCGATTAAGTTATTATTATCTGATATTTATTTCTCTTTTTTATGCCATGTAAAATTTAATGTAAAAAAAAACTTATTTAATATAGATTGATTGAATTGAAAAATTGAAAAATAGAATAAAACAAAATAAAAATCTAAAACAGCAACTAAGCATTAAAATAAAAAACAGTTAAAAATAAAGTAAAAAACTTTTGCATCAACTTTACTTTTTGCTACCAAGGTAACAAAAAATAATTAAACAATTTAAAAAAACGTAAAACAATTTTTACTCATCTACATATAACAATTTTTACTTATCTATGTATAACGATTTTTACTCATCTACTATAACAATTTTTACTTATTTATGTATGATTTTTACTTATCTACATATAACAATTTTACTCATCTATGTATAACAATTTTTACTTATTTATGTATAACGATTTTTACTTATCTACATATAACAATTTTTACTTATCTATGTATGATTTTTACTTATCTATGTATAACAATTTTTACTTATCTATGTATGATTTTTACTTATCTATGTATAACAATTTTTACTTATCTATGTATGATTTTTACTTATCTATGTATAACAATTTTTACTTATCTATGTATGATTTTTACTTATCTATGTATGATTTTTACTTATCTATGTATAACAATTTAATTTATCTACTATAACAATTTTTACTTATCTCTGTATGATTTTTACTTATCTATGTATAACAATTTAATTTATCTACTATAACAATTTTTACTTATCTCTGTATGATTTTTACTTATCTATGTATAACAATTTAATTTATCTACTATAACAATTTTTACTTATCTCTGTATGATTTTTACTCATCTACATACAACAATTTAATTCATATGTATAATGATTTTTATTATGATTATTTCTAAGATTATTCAAAATAAATTGTATAGAATTCAAAATAAATACTTCATCGTCTGGCTGGGCAACAAAAATATGACAACCATTTTGACTGAACATCCAGCGATCAATCTAAAAAAAAATTTCAAAACAATTTTTAAAAATAATACTTTTTGAAAAATTAAAAACTGAAAAAATTGTCCTGGGAGTAACAATTGTGTAACTGAGCAACAAATGCTATTTAAATAAAATTAAAATTATTTAAAGCTATTAAAATTAGTTAAACCAATTTAGAGTTTACCATATGTCACTTTACCATATATATTAAAACATATATGTCACTTTACCATATATATTAAAACATATATGGCGTATATGTATACAAAAGAAGAGCTAATAAAAATAACAGTAAGAATATCATTAGTTAATAGTAATTAAAACAATAATACATTTATCTTACTGTGTACCTTTAACATGCTGAAGGATTGGATAAGTCTATCATAGTAACAATCTCTCTGACTTTTTACCAAAGGTCGAAAAAGTAACAAAATTTTGTTCTCAATTATAGTTCTGTTACTTTAGTGAAATTTTACACGAGTACAAGTAAAAATAAAAAGTTACTCATTAAAAATGTACTCAGAGTAAACACTGCTACATTACTTTTTATGTGCTAATATTTTAAAACAATTTTTAAATTTTTTTTTAAAATTTCAATCAACTTCTTTTCTGAAATCTATTGACAAATTGTCGCACAGTTTGGCGTAAGAGTTTTTTGACGTAAAAAGTTTTTTTTAGCAAAACCTAGCTCTACCTTCGATTTTAAAATTGCTATTTGTGGTAATAATTTTATAAGATTTGACTATGAAGGAATTTTCACAATTTTTGCAGACTTTTTTCAGAGAATTGTTGCTCTTTATAAATGATTGTGAACAAATATATAAACATAAGTTTAAACATAAGTCAATACAGCTATTTAATAAAGTGCTTTGAATACCTTTTTTAAATTATTATTAACTCATCATTTTAAAATATAGAACTATAAACAGAAAATAGTATTTATCAGCATTGCAAACTTATTATCTATCAGCATGACATATTTTTTATCATTTATCAGCATTATAGATATATTGTGTCATTTTGTCAATAATAATAAAAATGTAAGGTTCCAGTGTAGTGAAATAACTTTGAAATGATTTGTAGTAAAAAATAAAAATGTAATGAGGTTCAAAATGTGTTGTATATTATTAATTAGCAAAAAATATGGTCAACATTCCAACATGTTTTTTTTTTTAATTATTTAAATATTATTATTAAATGCTAAATTACTTTCATTTCTGAATTATAAGGTGTTTTATTTCCAAAATATTTTAAGATACTATATGTGTAATATACGCCATATATGTTTTAAAAAGTAATTTCACATTTACAAAATGTTTTTACATGGTATTTGGTTTGGTTTACCAAGATTATATTGTTTGTTTTTACATTGACCAATTAAATAACTTCTTCATTAACATATCTTCATTTAATTAAAATTGCATAATTTAAAAACATTTATGTATGTGTAGTTAATATAAAGTAATGTTATACCATAAACCAGGGTAAACTGGGGTAAAGTGAACTAGGCGTAAAGTGAACTTTTTTTTAATAATAATGTTAAATTACTACTAAAAAAATTAAAAAAATTATTTTAGTAGTAAATTAACATTATTTTTGCTTAATACAACATTTTAAAATTTTTCAAAAAAGAAAAAAAAATTAAAATATAGCCTTTGTTTAGATGTAACAACCATTTTAAAAAATGAGTTTTGCGGAAGTTTTAATATTACGTTATCAAACTTTGCAAAAGGTTTTAGTAAATTTGAGATTTGTTGTTAATGCGAATATTAGATATATTTTAATACATTTTTAATATTTATATTTATATATATTTTTAATACTTATATATGTTTTTAATATTTATATACATTTTTAATATTTGTATACATTTTTAATATTTATATACATTTTGAAGATAATATAATGCTGCTTTAAAAAAATTGTAATTTATCATGATATAAAACAGCTTTTAGTTTTTAGTTTGTAAATCAATTTTTTGAGTTTGTAAATCAATTTAGTTCACTTCTCGTCCCCATATTTTTCTGTCTATTGTAGGTAAATTGAACTAGTCTTTTTGTTATGTTTTTTCATCAAATATTTTTAGTAGAACTGTATATATACATCATAATTACTTAACTGAATTGTTACTTAACTCTTAAAATATTTGTTTAAATTTTTATTTGCTTTAGAAATTTTCTTAAAACTAATTTCAGAAATATGATATATTGAATAATGCTAAGAAACTACAACAAGAAAAAAGAATCTAGAAGAAAAACATATTCACCTTATTTTATTGCAAAAAGTTATTACTAAAGTTAAAAATTTCGAAATATCTTTGTATGCTGCATCAAAAGAATATGATGTTCCAAGAAGTACAATTGCAAGACATTTTCTAGACATTAAATGCTTAAAAATCAGTGTAGAGCGACCGAACCGATTATTTGCTGATGCTTAAAAAGATCTTGTTTTGCTCTTATCTGCATTTTCTGATTTTGGCTTTGGATTGTACATTTTTTCGATGTACGTTCAAACATACATCAAAATAAATAGATTTCAGAAAAATTTGTGAATGGTGTTACTGGTGATCAGTAGTTTCATAATTTTATAAATCATTGGCACAAAAAAATATCAATAAGGACTCCAGAGCTTTAGATATTAACAAGAGCCTTAGCTTGTAACAAAACTGTAAGTGACACTTGGTTTTCTTTACTTAAAGCTACATTGGAAAAATGTGACATAAATAGATCTGCTCAAATACTAAACTGTGATAATAGTGGGTTTTGTACTAACCCAATAAATACAAGAATTATTTGCAAAAGAGGTATTAAAAACCCTGTAACTATTGCTCCTGGATTAGGAAAACAACAGTTTACTGTACTAGCAATAATATCAGATGCAGGAAGAAATTTTTCTCCGTTTATTTTGTTTACTGTTGGATGGAAACAGATATTTTCACTGAATACTTTAACCATTTTGTTTTATGGTTGAAAGACACGCCCAAGTCTGTTTTGTTTGTCATGAGTTATATTTTTTTAGAAATTGTTAAAAGAGCAAATGAAAATCATATATCTATTTTGTGTTTGCCAGCGCACTGCTCACATTTGCTTCAGCCAGTTGATGTAAGAGTCTTTCGCCAAGTTAAACATACATGAAGTGAAATTCTGGCTAATTGGTATACAGAGTCAAGGCTGAAGGTGGTTCGGAAATCTGTTTTTCCATCTTTATTAAAAAAACTTTATGATACTTCCTTTAAGCCAGCTCATTTAGTACAATCATTTGTTAAAACTGGAATTTTTCCCTTTGATCCATCTGCTATAGTATCTGACAAGTTAGCTCCTTCTGAAATCTATATAACACCCTTTTTCACAGAAAACAAATAATTATGATAATAACATCCCTCAAAACATCACTTTGAACACCAATGTCGATGATCAGAACAATACTAGTGAAAATGTTTTTTATTGAGAAGTCAACAAACAAGTTCACAAAAAAACTATAATATCAGTAGATTTAAACAATTAAAAAAAAATCAACTATCGATATCAGATATAGATTGTTTTACTGGAAATAAAACAATCTCTATATTTTTAAAGGAAATAGTGAAAGAACAGTTAATGGCCACAAAGGGTGATGCTTGTTCATACAATAAGCGAACTACAAAAAAAAAAAAAAAGATGCTATGAAGGTCTTACATCTGAAAAAGCGTTTAAAAGATTAAATGATGAAGAAAATGAATGAATGAATGCTGTAAAAGAATGATCAAGCAGCAAAGCAAAATACAAAATAAAAAAAATAATTTATCAGAAATAACAAACACAAAATAGTTAAAGATGAAGTAGTTCACTAGACCCTAAGGTGAACTAGTGTTTTTTTGAGTATATATTTAATATTGTAATAATAATTTTTAATATCAGTATTTTGTTTCATTTTGTACCTAATATTTTTAATAATATATATATATATATATATATATATATATATATATATATATATATATATATATATATATATATATATATATATATATATATATATATATATATATATATACTCTAACAATCATATATACATTATTTCGAGAAGTGAAACCAAGTACTAAACACCCTTTTTCTGAGTTGAGTTTCATAGCTTTTTGATCTTCAGCTGACATTGGAACAAGCATTTTTCCATAACGATATGCTATTAAAAAAAAATTTATTTATATCAATAAACTTTTTTAAATACAACTTGTAATAACTAGTAAAATAAAATAAAATCTTTAATATTAACAATAATAGTAAAGATGTAAAAATAGCAGAATGAGATTTATTTGATAAAGAAAAACTGTGAGCTCTGATCTTTTACCTGTGATAAGCTCATTTGAAGTTTTCACTTTAAATCTTTTTTAAGTAACTAAAAAGTTTTAAAAACACAAAGCTAGTGATAGCAGGGGCATGATGACCCCAGAAGCTATGCAGGCAACCCTGCATAGGTCCTAAAAACCTTTATTTTAAATAGACCATTTTCTAATTTAAAGTCTTAGTCATTGATTGTATTTTGCAAATTAAAATGAATTTTGCAAATTAAAATTGCAAATTAAAATGTATTTTGCAAATTAAAAAGAAAATTTATTATGAAAAGTTTTAATAATAAAAATGATTTATCTATTGTTCAGAATGAATTATCTATTGTTCAGAATGAACTATTTATTGTTCAGAATGAATTATCTTTTGTTCAGAATGAATCATCTATTGTTCAGAATGAAATTATGTTCAGCTATTTAACACGTTCACGCCGGCGTGTACCACCGGTGGTACACACTAGACTGTCTCATTGGGCAGCATGTACCACTGGTGGTACACACTAGACTGTCTCATTGGGCGGCGTGTACCACCGGTGGTACACTAGACTGTCTCATTGGGCGGCGTGTACCACCGGTGGTACACGCCGTCCAATGAGACAGTCTAGTGTGTACCACCAGTGGTACACGCTGCCCAATGAGACAGTCTAGTGTGTACCACCGGTGGTACACGCCGGCGTGAACGTGTTAATATTGTAAAATTATTCAATGTAAACACAAAACATTGTTTTAATAAGTAATTTTTTTTCTTCAAAATTTTTCATTTTTTAACTTTCTACAAAACAGTTGACCTTAAATTGACATTTTTTATCATCTAATATCTAATTTTATCATATAATATAATAAAAAAAAATTATTTTCATAACATTTTTTGCGATTATTTTAAGAAACCAAGTAAATGGGTAAGTACTAGAAAATTTCTTCTCTTGATGGGATCTATATTTCTAAATCTAGCACTAAAAGTTTTTTAAAAGTTTCCTAAGTTTCAACAGATTAATAACATATATATTTCATTTGTAATCAAATGAAATTTCATTTGAAAATGCGTGCATGTAAATTAAATACTTATTTTAACTGTTCTCCATTACAGATGTTTTTTGAAAATGATAAAAGGTTTTTTAACTTTGAAATAATAGGAATTATTTCTTTATATTACACAGGAGCTCTAAAAATGTTAAGAGACTATATCAAATACTTTTGGTTGAAAAATTAAGACTTTTAGGTTTCAGGAATAATCAATTTTGAAAATTAAGTCTTTTTGTATAATGAAAGAGACTCCAGGACTCCTGGCCTAAAAATTACAGGTACCAAGTCATTATATCTCTTGAACTTTTTTTTTATGGCAGATAATAACTCAATATTTTTAAAGCTCCTGAACATCAGAAGCCTGGAAAAAATAGATGTAAAACTGGAGTTGTTTTGGGACTCCCATCCCTGGTTTTTAGAAAAATCCTTCATGGGTATTTTAGATCCAGCATGCCCAAATTGAATTCCACATGGAAGCATCTTTATCATTAATGAAATGATACCATTGCACACAGTTCTCAGTTTCTGTAGTTCTTATGTTGAATATACTTGGCACAATACTTTTCCAGAGTATTTTAAATCCTCTAGTTTATATTCTTGAACTTAAATTGATCTTTTATGGGCGGAGAAGTGATTAGAGTAACTAAGGTTATGAAAATGGTATTTTTTAATAGCCTTAATTGTTAAGTTGTAGTTGTATTTAAATTGTATTGGTATTGTATTTAAATTGTACTTGAACAACGTTACTGAATTTTTTGAAGATATTAATTTTTTTTTTATTATGATTGTAAATTTTACTTTATAGATTTTCTACTATAATTAATATAACTTTTCTAGATATAACTTTTATTTTCTTGAACTCCAACCATCAGCTTCAGATAAAACTTTTTTGATTTGATTTTAAAATCAAGATAATTATTCTTTTATATTTTTTTAGCGCACCAAAAAAATATAAAAGGTCAATTCAAAAAAATAAAAATATAAAAGGTCAATTCAAAGTTTAAATGAATTAAATTTTAGTAAATTAGAATTCCCTAGAATATTACTATTTGCTTTTGTTGAGTTGTATTAGCAATTTTTTTTATTCGTTCTGTAATCATTCTTTAACTCAATTGATATCACTCTGGAGTCGTTTTATACTTTTATGGCTCCTCTATTTTTATATCATATTATCTTCAGAATTATAGAAATTTACTATTATGTGTAACTTTTATTATTGTGTAACAACTAACTTTGATTGTTTTTAATATCAATAAATCAAGTTATTCACCATGTGCAATATTATCTTTTTCTACTTGTGTTTGATCTTCATCAATCCTATGGTATGATCGCCTCATGTCAACTTCCATTGTGTGACAATTGAGTTCTGATTCAGCAACTGCTGAAAGTTTCTTCCAAGAAAACGGCTTCTCCTCTGATGTCTAAAATCAAGAGTAAATTTACATTTATATTATATTAAATAACAAATGCATATTATTTATCTTAGGTTTATTATTATTAAGAAATATAATTAATAAAACATCAATTATATTAGTCTTAAAATAGGAAAAACAACAATGGACCAAAAAACTCATTATTATATTTTAAAAAATATAATAATGAAAAAATATAATAAAAATTCTCAAAGAGAAAAACGTATTGAATTGAGACCAGAAACTAATAAAAAAAGAAAAACTTTTAATGCAACTAAACCTTTCAACAAATACTACACCATATAAATAACAAAGTTTAAATAAATATGTAAGGATAATGTATGCCAGCATCTAAATAAATAACAAACATATGTTTATATCCATATTATGTATGCATAAATACGTATCTTGAAAGCTTTCATTCCTTTGGGAATCTAAATCTAAAAAAAAAAAGTTTTAAAGCTTTTATTCCTTCTCTTTAATTTTAAGTCAAGTCTCATCATCAAGTCAACTCCACATTCTACTCTACATTCTACTCCACATTTTTCATTATCTTGAGCAGTTGCTTTATTAGACTGTTATAATTTTTTTTATCTTTTTTATAAGAACATCTCTCTTAAGAACAAAAGTCTTTTTATTATTGCAAGAAGTTAATGTAAAAAAAGTCCTGTCTGATGTTAAGCTCTGTTATTCTCAGTTTACAAAATCTTGTATCTTATCTCAGATAATAGGTTCTAAAAACTTTTGAAAAGTCTTCAACAGTGTCATTCACTAAATTCATGGGTCTGATCTTTTTACTTCTACCTAGATAGGGCAGAGTTATTTGTTACTTTTCTTCTAACTTGATTCTTGAATCTAATGGCCATTTTTTTCTGTCATATCAGTTAAACAGATTAACCCATTTTTAAACATCCAAATCACTCTGGCTTCCAATGCTAAAGTTGATTCTCAATTAAAAACTTCTACAGTTAGTGCTTCAGACAAGATTTCTATCATGGTCTTAAAAAGTGTTCTCCAGAACTCTCTTTAACTTTGCTAAACTATTAAAAAGTGTTAAATAATAAGGTTGCATTTCTTTCATTTTCTACAAAGACTATCATGGTCAATGCTCAAACAAGCTATCATCAGAAAGAAAAAAATTAAACTAACATCTAAATTTTGTTGCTTTTTAAACAACAAATGTTTTTAACTTTTTAAACTATAATAAAACTTTTAATGTATAAATGTAATATTAAATACAAACCAAATAATACAAAACATAAGTTGTATGTTTTCTAATTATATCAAACATATTTTCTTTATTACAAAAACTTTGTTTCTAATAAAGATCAAATTGATGCAACTACTGTTGTAAATAATTACTACGTTTAATTACTACGTGTGTGAAGATGTATTATATGCATATGATACATTTTTCATGTCCTGTTGCCTTGTACGATTTAGGCAAAGGCTAGGAGATGCCAACTCTGACTTAACACACCCTCTGTCTTGGAGCTCTTGGTTGAGTAAAGACTAGAGATAGTGTCTTGATAAGACTTAAAGGGTAAACAGATTCAATCTGATGACCAGCTTCAAAATCCTTCTTCATCTATTAGATTTGTGTAGATGTATTTATAACACATTGTTTCCAGTTTAGGATGTTGAAAGCTGGATCTTCTTGACTCATTGGGCTTTGCTTGTACCTCTGTGTTTTGTGACACAGAGCTTGTACCTCTTTTACTTTTTGTGAGGAAACTCATTCTATTATCTCTTTATGAGAGCAAAGCTCTATAACTCAATTTTATGGTTCTGATTAGTGATCGACCGAAACAGAAAAATAGCCGAAACTGAAAGAAACCAAAATTTTGGGTACTCAAATTTGGTGCCAATACCGAAACTGAAAATTCTGCAAATATTTTACCTAACCCGATAACAAAATTTTGGTTAGTCAAAATTTAATTTATTAGAAAAATATATTTAAAAATTAATTTTATATTTTTTGTTTTTTTTATACTCGTATTATGTTTAAGTTAATTACGTGTATTTCAAATTGAGATTTAATACATAAGTTGGCGATATAAGTTAATAGCAAAATTTAACAACTAGCAGATTTTCTCTGCAAAACAAGATTTTTTCGAGGTATTTTGTGAAAATTCTCAAAATAATCGGTGAAAATTCTGAAAAAATAACTGTTGTTCTAAATAAAATATATATTATAATTCAGTATGCTTTTTGACTGAAATTTTGGTTTTTACCGAATTTATAAAAAGTACCAAAAATCTGGTATTGGTTCAAATTGAAATTTCGCCTGAAACCGATTCCGAAACAGATTTTCGGTCAATCACTAATTCTGAGGCTGGCTGATAGTAAGGTTTTCTGAATATTGTGGTACCTCTCAAAAATGCTGATTCCATCTACAGCTATTAAACATCAGAGTAACAAATATAACAGTGCCATACTGCACATGTATGGTATCCCTGTTCATACTTTTGGTGTGTATTGTCGAGGTAATATTTAGAGCCCATTGTTACGGCTTAGGGTTTATTAATAGTAATGAGGCATTTGCTTGGACTATTAGATAGTAGACTGAGCACTAGCTGTGCATCGAGTCAAGTTCTTTATCCAATTTAAAAAATGGCTAAAGTATCAAAAACTGTAAAAAAAACTATTGTCATCACCAAGTTCTCTAAATCTATATTCACTAATACACATGGTCTTGGAAGTAACTTTTCTTCTGTTGAGTCTTATCTCATGTAAAGTTCACTAGACCTACTTACTCCTTGTAAAACTAATTTGAGTTCAGCTGTCTCATCTTGTGATCTTAACACATTTCTAAAGCCTTTGATAAAGTTTAGCATGCTAGTCTTCTCCATAAGCTCTCTTCTTGCCATGTAAAACTCCAATAGTCACATGCTTGGCTTAACATTTACATTCCTAAGAATTTACCTATTTGTCGGAAAACTACATTTGAATCCACAGACTATTTTTTATGAGTTTTTGTTTAGCACACTTCACTATCACTAGCACCACTCTATCACCTTCCTTTTTGTTCTATATTGCTCTTCTTCATCAACAAGACTCTCTTTTCAATGTTATTTATGATTAAATTGACCAAGCCCTCTCTCTTTATCCTTCAACCAAAATTGTTGTTTTTGGTGACTTTTATGCTCATCACCCTGAGTGGCTTGGTTCTAGTGTTAGTGACTTTGCAGGTGTTAAGTCCCAACAACTTTTGCTTTTCTCAATTTTTAACATAAATAATCAACTTTCTAACTCGCTTTTCAGACAATTTGAATCATTTACCTTCTCTACTCGACTTATGTCTTGTTTCTGATCCTAGTCAGTGCTCAGTTTCTTCACATTCACCCTTAGGTGCTTCTGATCATGGTTCGATCTCTCTAAAACTATTTTCTCATTCTTCTTCATCATAAGATTCCCCCTATTATTGTACCTCTTACATCTACCTTAAAACTGACTGGGACTCTTTCTGTGATTTTTTTCGTGATTGCTCTTGGGTAGAAATCTTTTATCTTCTTGCTGACAAGTGTGCATCTTCTTGGATTCAGGCTGGCATGGAATTTCATCCCTTTATTCCACAATTCACATCCTACTTGATATAGCTGAAAAACTGGTTGATCCATTGATTGACATTTGTATAATTCAAGCTTCTGTATCTAAAGTGATTTCCTGGTTAGACTCTTCTACAACTTGTGGTTCAGACAACATACCTGTTAAAGTCTTGCAGAAGTGTTTTTTGGTGCTCTTGTCTATACTTTTAAAACTATTTAACAAGTGCTTTATCAGAATCTTGTTTTCCAGCATGCTGGAAAGCGATATCTGTTTTCCCTATTTTCAAAATTCTGGAGAGTGATTTGACTCCTCTAAGTATTTTTCTTGGAAACTATATATCAAATACATTGCAAAACTAGCATCTGTTAAGGTTGCTTTTCTTACTCTGGATTCTATTCTTTATCTCTATAAATCTCAAACCCATTCTTATATGAAATATTGTTGCCATATCGGGAGTGAATCTTCAAATGATGTCCTTTCTTTTTTAGACAAGATGCAAAAATGTATTGTAAACATAGATGGTCCTGCTCTTGCAGCCAACTTTCAACCATTATCACTTCAACGTAATGTTGCTTCTCTTTTTTTTTCTATAAATACTATAATGAGCACTGCTCTAAAGAGCTTGCATCTCTTGTGCCAACTATTACTATTCATTTTTGTGTTACTCTTCAATCAATTAAGTCTCATTCTTTTACTGTGACTGTTCCTAAATGCTCCAAAAATTCTTATTTGTCTAGTTTTTTTTCCTCAAACTTCCATTCTTTGGAACTCGCTCCGCTCATCTTGTTTTCCTGATTCATATAATTTGTAATCTTATGAGTCGTCTGTTAACCCTTATCTTGCTTTATAAACTTAAGTTTTTCTTTTCCAGTAACTTCCAACTGTAATAGTGGTTGAAACGCTGAACTATTAAAAAGCTAGTTTGAAATATCAAAGAAATGATATATTTTAGTATAAATACAATGACATAAATTTTAGCTAATGTTATTATTCTTTTTTTAATTATCAGTATTCTTTTAGAAGAAGCTACTGGTAAAATGTAATACATTTCCTGCTGACTTGTAGAACTCACTACTCTAGACAAAAGCTAGGAAAATATAACTCCTAAGTTATATTTTAAGCTCTAAAATATGCTTAGCCTTGGAGCTCTTAGTAGATGCCTCAATCAACAAAGAACTCCATATCAGATCCTAACTGCATCAGTCTACTGTCTTGTAAACAATAAGACTAAACTAATTTAAGGGTAAGCAAAAGGTTTTTGATGACCACACCTAAATTATCTAATAAACTAGTGTAGATTTCAAACTTCCTAATGTCACATTCTTGGCCTGGTCATATACTTCAGGCTTTCACAAAAAGGCGTGCAATTGCACGTCTTTATATGACCATGCAAATTACATTTTGCTATGACAATTTGACCACGCCTAATTCGAAAAACATTTTAAAAATGCGCTAAATGAAAAATGTTCTGAAAAAGTGAAATTAATTACATCAAAACTTCTTAACAAATGTTTTTATATTAGCAAAATGCTTTTAAATAAAGCAACAATTACTGATGTTTTTTTTAAATATAATTGACAGTTGTATATATTTTTTTAATTTATAATATACAAATTGTTTAAGTGTGCATTTCTTTAATAAACACTATTAAAAAATAAAAAATTGTTTTGTTTTTATAAATGATGATATTCTACAACTACGAAAGTCTTTTTAACCAATTTTAATATAAGAATAATTAAAGTTAATACATTTAAAAAGATAAACAAAATTTTGTTGAAAAAAGTTTGATCTTAAATGTGTTTATATTATCAAAACGCTTTTCAATGAAGTAACAAAACAGTTCTAATTAATTTTTAAAATAACTATTAATAAACTGTTGTTTTTTTACTTATATATTTAGGTATTTTCTATAAGAAATATTTATCTTTTGAAGCATATTAAATAAAAATAAAAAAGTACAAATGTTAAAACAAAGATTGAAATGGATTTTAATGCGTAAATTAAGTAGACTAAGCATTTTAGTTTGATGAGTTTTGTTTTAGTTGGGTTATATATATATTTATTTTTTTGTGTTTTTGCCTCAACAAAGTATTTTTTTTATTTTCTCTTTCGTTAAGATTTTTTTTCTTTTTACAATTTTTTTTTTAGATGAGTTTAGATAAGTTTTTGTCGCGCATTTTTGAAAATATGTCAAAAGCCGTGGTCAAATCTTTAAAACACAATAATTTTTGCGTGGTCATATAAAGACGTGTGATCCTTCATGTAAAAGCCTCTACTTGAATATTAATTTACTTATTTGTTGTAAATTTTATTCTTCACATTCACTCACTTTCTCATTCACTGTTCTTTAATAATTTCTTTATTTCCAAGCATCTGCTAAGGTCTCTTATATAATGCCTTTTTTCACTTCTGATTTGATTTTTTAACTCTTCAAGCCACTTATTCCCCATTGTATGAAATGCTCCATGTTCCTAACATGTTACCATAGATGTTTAATTGGATTTAAGTCATGTGATAGGGATGGCCACTTCAAAACAATATTCTTATTCTTTTTAAAAGCTCTAAAACCGATTTGGCTGCATGTTTAGAATTGTTATCCTGCTCGTATTTTCATCCACAAGGCATTTTATCCTAGTCATAGTAGTGGAGCAGACCAACTTCATCCCTGCTAAAACATCCCTAAACCATTATAATACCTCCTCTATGTCTTACAGTAGGCAGTTGTTGTTTGGGATCGTATCTTATATCTAGTGGACATTAAACATACCTGATTTCATCTGATCCGAACAGTATAAAATTGTTTTCGTCACTAAAAAGAACTTTTGACCACTGTTGACTATTCCACTTTAGATGCTCTGATGCAAATTCTTTTCAGGCGTCACAGTTTTTCAAGGAAACTAATGGCTTTTTAGCTAGGCGTCTTCCAAATAAATTAGCCTGACGTAAACAATGTTTTATAGTAGAAATATTACAACTCATTCCATAGAAATGTCTAATTGGTACGTTTATATCGACTTGAGATTTGGTACGTTTATACTGGAGATGAGACACATTTCTTAGATTCCTTGATCTAAATCACTTATAAATAAAGTTTGTAAATTATTTTCACAAAGTAATTGTTTATTAAATCAAAAAATTAGCAATTTTGTGGTGAAAATATTAAAAGCTTTAGTTTGTCCGCTGAAATACTAGTAAAACTTAATTTTTTTATGCCTGTCCGCAAACTTTTGGATGCTACTGTATATATAAATGTTACATCATTTTAAAAAGAAACAGTTGAATAGATTATTAGTATAATAATAATAAATAAAATAAAATTATTATTCCATATTCAAATAAAAATAATAAATATAAAAAAAAAAAAATGATAAAAAGTTAAAACTTAATAAATTTTTTAACCAGTACCATAATAATAACTTTTTTTCACAATTTAAAAATATAATTGTTGTCAAAAACAATAAATAGAAAAAGTAAACCAGCTGATAAATAGTGAATCTGGGACAACAAGAGAACCAGCTGATAAATAGTGAATTAGGTAACAGCAAGTCAGATCTTTAATAGTGAAAAATATTTCAAGTAAAATAAGAGACTGAATAAAAGTAAGTTTTTAAATGATTTAATAATCTGTTTGTACAAGATCACACTCCTCCAATTATGAGGCCACACTACTTTTGTAAACATTAGTAGTATGCTACTACTACTACTACTACTACTACTACTACTACTACTACTACTACTACTACTACTACTACTACTACTACTACTACTACTACTACTACTACTACTACTACTATTACTACTACTACTACTATTACTACTACTACTACTACGACTACTACTACTACTACGACTACTACTACAACTACTACTACTACTACTACTACTACTACACTACTACTACTACTACTACTACTACTACTACTACTACTACTACTACTACTACTACTACTACTACTACTACTACTACTACTACTACTACTACTACTACTACTACTATGACTACTAAAACTACTACTGGGCCACTTCAGTAAATGTCAAACTAGTGAACATCGGTCTTGTAAATACTAGTACCCAATCTACTTCTGTATACACCAATTTAGAAAAAAAGATTTTTACAAATACTTCACAAAATAAAAATACACATAGATAAAGCACTTAGGTGACAAATAACTACAAAAAACTTATTGATAAAATTAATTCACGTTTTGTTTAAGTGCAAAAAACAATTAATGGTTATAATTAAAGGTTTCATAAAAATAGTGTTTAACAAAACTGCTAAAAATATAATTGAACCATATAACTTGTACAATAATGCCATTTTCATTAACGTTCCATGAGATTTTGTACAGATATTGTATATGAGATTTCAAACTTTTTTTAAATAGGTACTTGTCTAACATTATTTATTACATATTGTCAGTAGTGTTGTGTCAGTAGTGTTGTTGTTATTGTGTCAGTAGAGTTGTGTCAGTAGTGTTATGCCGGTAGTGTTGTTGCTGTTGTTGTGTCAGTAGTGTTGTGTCAGTAGTGTTAAGTCAGCAGTGTTAATAACTGTGATAAGATGTGCCTTGTAAATTTTTATTTCTTTTAATTTTCATTATTTGCAATTTTATATGCAACAAAACAAATTTAAAAAAATAATTTTTACCTTAACAAAAGCATAGCAATTAATTTTTAATGATGCTCCTATTTCAATAGGTCCTCGAAACGCTGTAACTTGCTTTTTGCTTCGTTTTTCAAAGAAACTCACCATTGGAAGAACTTCACTACAAATGAAAGTAAGCATAAATTTAAAAATTCTTTATATTATTTTATAGAAATAAATAAATTCTTCATAAAATCTTATTGAGATACATTTTTAAAACTAATTGGCATACCTTATAGACATGCCTTCTCCATCTACAGATTCTAAAATATGACGAATGCAGTTGATACCTTTAACCTGTAAAAATAAATTTGTGTAAATATATTTATCAAAAATAGCTTTTAGTAACAATTATTTAAAAAATGTTACTATTTTTTAGTTTTATTATTATTACTATTTATATGTTTTAATATTATTTTGTTATAAGTTAAAAAAGGTTACTTGCTGAGATCCTAGAGGTTTATTGTTTAGCATTGGGGTTGGACTCTGCACTTCACTATCATCATCATCATCTATCTCAGGACCGCTAAAAAGTAAAAATAATAGTTGACGTTGTAAAACAATAACAACAATAAACACTAACAACAATAATATGAAAATATAAAACTGAAAAAAGTTGTTGATTGATTAGTTGATTAAACAGAATAAGATTTCAAGTTTTTAGTTAATTTATACATAATTAAATAAATATTGCATAAATTTAATTATACATAAACTGCATAAATTTAATTATACATAAAATGTATAAATTTAATTATACATAAAATGTATAAATTTAATTATACATAAACTGCATAAATTTAACTATACACAAACTGCATAAATTTATTTATACATAAATTGTATAAAGTTATTTATACATAAACTTCAATAAACATTTATATTGTAAATTAAACAAAAAACAACAATTATAAAAAAACTAATTTTATTTAATCAAATGTGAACAGACTCAATAGGTTCTCAAAAGCTTGAATTTCTAAATTTTGCTCTTCTCTGTAGGTTTGCTCTTCACTGTAGGTTTGCAAAGTTTCTCAGTAGGTTCTCAAAGGTTTTTTGATAGCAAAAGCATTTCCTAATATCTTTTTGTATGTAAACTGGTTAATTTGAATATTTTAAATCCATTTAACAAACACCCACTCTCATTTTTTTTTTTTTTTTTTTTTATGTATTTATATAAACAGCTGGTAACACCATTTTTTTTTTAAATATTTTATTACAAAATATTTTTTAAATCTTTAAATATATTTAAAAAAAAACTTTTTAATAAATTTTTATTAATTATATTAAATTAGTTGTTTTATTATTATTAAAATAATCTTTTTTTATAATCATAACTTTCTTGAGACAAGCTTTCAGCTTTTACTGCTCAAAATCACAAATTCTAATCCATTTTTTTATATAAAAAGATATGCTTTGCATAAACTGTAAAGCAGTTTCATATTTTGTTATTCTAAAATGTTGTATTTTAAAGGGGGACAAAGGAGGACCACTGTTGTCAAATGTTACTATAAGACTTGTAACTAGGTATAATTGTAATATAAAATTGTAACAATGTAAGGGGTCGTCCATAATGACTTAGAAGTGCGGCCATGCGTAATTCTAAGTCCTTCCCCCCCCCCCCCCTCCCTAAAAAAGTATGTACGTTTTTAAAATACCTCCCCCCCTAACTTTTTTTATCAATGAAAAAGTTTATGGAAATAAACATTTTATAAAAACCAAAAGCTCTTCGTTTGCGGCACAAGATCCGAAGTTAACAACCTCTTCAATTATATATGCAAATATTAATTTAAATATAGTTAAATTACCTTCAATCAATGAGTTTGCTTGGTCTAGCGGTTAGTTCTACGGATTGAGGCGACGCAGATCCATGTTCAATCCCCCGGTCGAGTCAAATTGTAATTTTTGTGTTTTAAAGATGAAGCAAATAAAAATAAACTATTCTTGAGGCGGATCTTTTTTTTTAGGCACCCCTATTTATTAAGTCCGTTAAAAATGAGTTCTACGCGAGATCAGTAATATCAAAAACAAAGCCTAAAACCCAGTGCCGAGGATAGGCTTTACCCTTTACGCTTTACTCAAGTATACTTAAGCTCCAAACATAAGTATGCCTATGCCAAATGTGTGAAATTTGTGCAAGCTCTAAAATTTAAGTATAACTGTGCCAAATAAAGAGGCCTTGCAAAAAATTGGGATGGCGAAGACCTAGGAACAAAAAAGCCCAAAAAAGCGTAAGGGCGCTAATGTAGTAAAATTTCAACTTTACCATCTAAAACTAAATTTAAATTTATTGACAGATTTAAAATTTCGTAGAAAAATATTGTAAATTACATAAGTTATGACCATTTAAAATTTACACTTCTCCTCTTTTTTTTAGGGAGGCGTTTCAGGGCTTTTTTGCTCACAGGCCTCCGCCTTTTTAATTTTTTGCAAGGCCTCCTCGTTTAGCATAGGTATAAACATACTTAAGCTTGGAGTTTACACAATGTGTGAAAGTGTTCTACCTGGAACATCAAAAAATCCTGCGGGCACCCTTGTATGTGTGTAAATTGTGGAAAACTATACCCTCTACTCCCAAACATCTTTTTATGTTGGAAAACTAGGATTTTTAGTCAGAATTTTAACTTTTCTATTGATTAGCTGATTAATTGTGATAAATTAGAAAATCAATGTACGTACTTTTAAATTGAACCTCCCCCCTCCCCATACGCTTTCGTATGCTTTTTGAAGACCTTCTTCCTCCCCCCGCCTATGAGCGTACATACTTTATGGGTGACCCCTAATTTGGTAAAAAAGTAGGTGAGGTAGAATTTTTAAAATATGCAAAATCAATGACCAATATCAAAACACATGATGTTGAAATAAAACATATTGAGAATTAATTGAGAATTAAAACCAAGATGTAAATATTTTTTTTTATTTTTTATGTAAATATTTTTCTAGTTACTGATTTTTTTATTAGTTAAAATGCAGTTCTATCTGTTATAATCATTTAAACTATAGTGAAATATAATTTGAATTTATAATTGGTATCGTAATCGTGCCAATCACTCCAAAACTCATGCTCTCATTGAAATGATTGAACTAATTAGAAAAGCACTTGATGATAAATATTTTGCATGTGGTGTATTTGTCAATTTACATAAAGCGTTTGACACAGTGGATCATTCAATTTTGTTGAAAAAATTACAATATTATGGGATCAGAGGCGTACTGCTTTTAACAATAGAACACAATTTATTTTTATTAATGACTCAAAATCTACATTTGTAAAATGTTCTAATGGTTTTCCTAATGGTTTAGTATTAGGACCACTGCTTTTTCTTCTTTATATTAATGACTTTAATACCTCCATTAAGTTTGCTGTTTACCACTTTGCTAATGATCTACTAACTAATCTAATGCTAATTAATAAATCCCTTAAAAAAATTAACAAACACATTAACCATGATCTTGCTAATCTACTTTAGTGGCTTTGCTCTAACAAACTTTTTCTAAACTCTAATAAAACTGAACTCATTATCTTTAAATCAAATAAAACAAAAATCTATAAACATATGAACTTTAGGTTAAGTGGCAAAAAAATTGAACCTGTTAACTCAATTAAATATCTTGGTATAAAAATTGATTCAAATCTTTCCTTTTTATCCCACTGTTAAAGGGATCCCAAACTCCCAACACATGTTGTGTTCATATTAAAGATAATGTTAAAAAAAAAAGTTTGAACCAAATTTTTTTGATTAAAAATAAATAATGAATGCATACCGTGAAAAACAAATGTTGTTTTTGCCGAAGCTCGTCTTCTCCATTTTTTTCAACTAATCGGAGTCTTCAAATTATGAGTCGCAATCTACAGACTTTGGCAATTCCTTTGAAGCGCGTTTAATTCATAAAAGTTTTAGTATTTGACGTTACGGTAGACTTTTAACAAAAGAAAAGTGTAATTAAACTAAGCTGCGTTTTTCTACTGTAGTATTTTTTTAACATACAGCAAAACAAATTTATTTGTATTATTTTTCCAAACATCGCAAAAAAAATTTTGTAAAAAGTAAAAACAATAAATTATTTTTATTTTATAGGAGCAACTTATTTTTTACAGATATCTTAATAATTTTTAGATTTATATATCTTACTTATATTTCTTTAATTATTTTAATTAAAACAAATATTAAAGCTTTACTTACCAATCTCATGATTTTCATACAAGTATTTTACTTTATATAGAACGTTTTATATACGGTCTCTTGTTTTTGCGCAAGAGAGCGCAGTATTATATATTCTGATTCTTAATTATTTTTATTTAAACAAAGGGAACTATTTTCTAACTTCTCCGGTTATTTTTACGCTATGACAATTTTTTGTTTTCCCGTCAAAAAAAAGTATTTATTAACAATTACTTTCATAAACTGACAGTATTAATTAGAGATATTTAATGAATTGTTAACTTTTTTTATTATAAAATTTTTTTGATCACGCTGATTTAATTTAAATTGCTAAATTTGCTGAATTGGATACGGATAAAAAGGAAACACCATTTTATTTTACATTTGATTTTTGATAATGAAATTTTTAAAGTGTCAGCAACTCTATACCAATTAGAACCTGTTAAGATTATGAAAAAAAAGTGCAAGAATACACTAAACAATACAGTTGACAGTAGTATCAGATATGAAAATTCATGAAAGGATTTGTGAAATCCTGATTTTGCATTAAAAGTACAACTAATTGCAACACAAGTCGGCATTAGAAATTTTGATTATAAGTTTACTGTTCAATATTTTATAACCATCAAATAAAAAACATAAAGTTTGTGTATTTTCGCCTGTTTTATACAACTAATATTAAACAAAAATACGGACAAATTATTATTAAATAACGCAATAATTAACACATTAATTAAAGGCAATAATTCAAGATAGATGGTAATTTAAATTGTTAAAATGTCATAACGCGAATTAAAAAACATATTATATTTGGTATTTCCAAATTTGTGTCGTAATTGGCATTTGTCTCTTAACATGAAAAATTAAAAATTTTTAAAAACACAATTAACAAATACAAATTTTCAAGCAATTTTCTCTTCCAATTCTCACTTATTCAAAGAAAATTTACTATTAAACTTTTATTTCTCTCATCTAAAAAAAGAATGAGTGAAGCAAAAAAAATATATATTCTTTACAACTCTTACTCAATCAAAGTTTAATTGCGCGAAACTTTTCTTTCTCTTTTGTTCTACTCTTTTATAAAAAGAGCGCCCGATGAAATAAAAACTTTTCTTTTTTAACATATAATTATAGTTTGAGATAAAATTAAATTAGAAATAAATCAACAATGAGCAAAGCAACGAACAGGTTAATTTGGAACTATTTTGATATTTATGAAAATAATCAACATAAACAACATTGCCAACAACAATTATCAAATAAACAACACAATCTCGCATAATTTTAGGGGCATTTTATTTTTATTGCTTAGTCGTTCTAAATAATAAGTAAATTTAGTTCAAGTTAATAATTCAATATTTACAGTTGCAATAGAATAAAGAAATGGTGTTTAATACTGAACTTTTTATTTAGTTATTTATTTTTTTACCTACATTTGTTATAAAAAACTTTAGAACCCCCGTCATTAAAATAATTTGTTTTAAATATATATTGATTTACGTGATTATTCAAACTAATTTTTTTCGTTTGACTTTCCGAACTTCATGCAAAGCAAATTGAAACGAAATATCGTCTAACCAAATAAAAAAGCTGTTACTAATTTTATACAGGTAATTAATGTAAAACAATTTTTGAGATAATAAATATTCATAATTTATAAACATTAAATATATGGCGCAATAACAATTTATAGCAACGAACCAGCATAAAATATTTAAGGTTTTTAATATCTTTTTAAATATTAAAAGTAGAAAAAAAAAAAAAACTAAACAAATAATCAAAAAAACTTCGACTAAAAATAAATAAAAATATTTCTAGAGTTTAATTTATTAAAAGTCTACCGTGACGTCAAATACTAAAACTTTTATGAATTAAACGCGCTTCAAAGGAATTGCCAAAGTCTGTAGATTGCGACGCATAATTTGAAGACTCCGATTAGTTGAAAAAAATGGAGAAGACGAGCTTCGGCAAAAACAACAACATTTCTTTTTCACGGTATGCATTCATTATTTATTTTCAATCAAAAAAATTTGGTTCAAACCTTTTTTTTTAACATTATCTTTAATATGAACACAACATGTGTTGGGAGTTTGGGATCCCTTTAAGACTTGGCAATGAAACTAAGTAGATCTAATGGCATGTTGGCTAAAATTTGTCATTATGTTAATTTTGAGATTTATTATATTTACTTTTAACATATTTATTTTTAATATATTTACTTTTAATATATTTACGTTTAATATATTTATTTTTAATATATTTACTTTTAATATATTTACTTTTAATATATTTACTTTTTATATATTTACTTTTAATATATTTACTTTTAATATATTTAACCCTTTGATTGTGCAAATAAAATTAAAAGATATTTTTTAAATTAAAAAAAAAAAGCAAAAACAATAAAAAATAATTAGTAAAACACATATAAATAATATATCAAAAGAAAGAAAAAATTCTGCACTATTCAATAGTATAATTTGTATAATACTAAAATTAATACTTTAACACTAAAAGTCATAGTTTTAAAGATCACTTTAATAGCAACAATGGCATTTCAACGGAAAAGTTACGATTGTGGCTCATTGCAGTCAAAGGGTTAACTGTGTAATTGTGTATAGTAACTTTAATCAAATTGTACTCACACAAAAATAAGGTTGATTTCACATGCTTTGATTGCAGATATTATCATTTCTAATTGATCATCAGCAAACTCTGAACACATGTTAGAAAACAGAACAATCTTTTTTGTCATCTTTCGCCCTCTAAAATTCATTGAAAAAAAGAAACATATAAGTAAATAATTCAATAAAAAAATACTAATAAGAAAAGAAACATATAAATAAACAAACAATAAATAAAGCTAAAGGATGTTAAGTTATAATAAACTTTAATATAAATACAATATGAATACTTTAATATATTATTTAATAATAATAATATATAATAATGTTAAAGAACTTTAAAATGTATTTAGACATTTAAAAACATAATAAGAATATAAAATAAGTAATAAATAATATTTCTATGATCACCTAATGAAGGCATAGTTCTAAAACTCAGTTTATTAATACTGAGTCAGCCTGGTAGTAAGGTTTCCAGAAAACTTTGGAAGTTCTCAGAAAAGCTGATTCCATTAACAGCTATAAAATATTATATTAACATGTTGTGTATGGAAGATGTCTGAGTGTTTTTAGTGTGTATTGGCCATTGTAATTAATTGTCTTTTAGAGGCCAAATAAGAAGACCTATGTTATAAACTTGTTTTGATTAACAAGAATAAAGCGACTGCATAGCTTACTACTTTATGTGTCATACATTGTCTTTGATTGAGTCAACTTCTCTAATTAAAACTTAAACAAAGTACCTCAAAATATTTATCTTAAAAAACTATCATTACCACCAAAATGTTTTAATTTATCTTTCATAAATATTTATGGTTTTTACAGTAATTTTTTATCTATTGACCCTTACTTCTAGGAAATTTCAATAGACCTACTCAATATTTTTGCGTTCAATATCTTTTCTTCGATAAGTGGTTCAATCACAAAAACTTTAAATTTAATTTAATAATAATTAATAGTCATTCTTTTACATCAGAGTAAATCACCCTATCATTGCATTTTTTTACTAATTATGGCTGGCTAAAAATCTTTTTGAAACTTTCTTCATAATGGTTATTGGACTGATGTCTTTTGTCTTTTTGTGGAAAATTCCTTTATAATCTCAGATTCAGGCAATTAACCTATTTTCCATGGTTTCCTTCTTGTGTTGCTGCTATTTCTAATTGAATTTTTTTTTTTTTTTGGCGTTTTCTGAAAAAATAACTTTCAGGAGAACATGCTTGTGTCTGATCTTCTTACCTTTTCCAGCAATAAAAGCTAATTCTACTGCTCTTGTTAAAAGTTATAACAGAAAGCCTTTATTTTGCTTTACATAGAAGAGGTGAGGCAATGGATGTTTCTTTTGACATATCCATGACTTTTGATAAAGTCTGATGTGCTGGCCTTCCCATAAGCTAGTTTCTTATGGTTTATTTGGAAAAATTTGTAAAATTATTTAAATATTTCTTTCTCACCGCAGTATTAAATATATTCTCTATGAGCAACACTCATCTTTATTTCCAGAACTACTAAGTTACCACAATGACCCTTCCTTGTTCCTGGGTTGTTCCTCGTCTATATCAACAATCTTCCTGATAATCTTACCTCTAAACTGCTAATTGCTGCTGCTGCTTCAACAATGCACTTCTAATGTGTCTCTAACTGTTGCTGCTGCAACAATGCATTTCTATAGTGTCTCTAACTGCTGCATCTACAACAATTCCTTCTAAATTATCTCTTTTCTTTTATAAATTATACTTTTCTTTCAAAAAATATTTTAATATTTAGTTTTCCTTAAGTACAGTGAAAACTAATTTTTAACTACTTTTTTTAAAGTAAAATTTTTTGTCATGTCATGTCACATGTAAGGTCTTAACTTACAACTTAGTTATTTAATCAGCACCACACCACACCAAACAATTGTTTATCACCAATGCAAACTGTACAAAACATTTTTTTTTAAATTCTACCTAACTACTTCTATCTAAAATATTCCTACATTTCTGGCGACCTGCAACTAGACCTGATCCCTTTAAAGTCCAAAACTTTTCAATCAAAGTGCAAAGCAACTGCAAATGGTAACAAAGTTTTACTTGAACTTTTAAAGTATATTTTATTTAAAGATAATAAAGATTTGAAATACCAAAACCTTCAGAAAATTTTATCTACTTAATGACATTTTCTTCAGGAAATTTTTGAATAACATACTCTTAATGAATAAAAGATGGTACTTATTTTGAACTTGTTTTGTTATGTGTTGTACGTTCAAACCAGTTAAACCAGTTAAATCATGTGTTGTATGTTTTTGTGATAAATTTAAAATAAAACTGCACAAAATTTACTGACAACAAATCGTTACAATTATTGACAACAACCAACTAGTTATCAATGCGCCAGTAATTTACACTCAAAATACATCACATGGTTAATTCATTTTAGTGTTTTGTCTGATTAAGAATCTCTGAGCAATTTTAAAATTTTAGAATCTGAGAATCTAAATATAAATTTTTAAAAACATTTTATCAATAATAAAAACTCACAAACATTTTGTTCTCAAATGATCCACAGCTACAACCAGAGCATCAATGACTTTAAACAAATTAAGTTAAATTTTCTAAAAACATTTTTTTGTGCCTTACCAATTTTTTGAAAAAGAACAAAATAAAATGGTTTACTCAAAAACTAGATTTTTATTTCTTTATTAACCTGTTTTATAGTTAATAATTAACTAACTCAACTCGTTTCTCCGCGCAGCGGCCTTGTTCGTCAAGGTTCGTGTTTCGGAGTTATAGAGTTGAGAGAGGGTTATAGCCACAAATAAGTAGCCTCCTCGTCTGTAGTGGCCGTCTCGGCCTTGAGGAGGTGAATTAAAATAAAAAAAAAAAAAAAAAAAAAAAAAAACTACAAATTAATAATAATAACTATTTGTAATTAATTAATAATAATAACTTATGCGTTGCAAAAATTATAAAAAATTTATATATACATAAATTATATTACTATTCTATATATACTTACTATATATACATAAATTATATTATTAAATTAACATAAATTGTAAACAAACAAAAAAAATAAAAATTAAAAAATTTTTCAAAAATTTAAAAAGATTAAGTTAGAATAACACAGGTCTACAAAAAAAAACTTTTTTTCTGTTGCACGAGATATTGAAACTTATTTTTATGTATTTTTAAACGCTGAATCCAAATATAAGGTTTTGTTGGTAAGCTCTAGTTTTTTTCTCAATATCACTTTTTTTTAAATTATGTTTTTTCATAGCTATTTTTATTCAATAGTTATAAAAAAGTAACCATCTCATTGTTTTTATTAGATCAAATATATATTATGATGGCTTCTTCAGATCGACATAAGTGCAAGCATCATCCTAACTCATTTTGTTATATATGTGGTTGCTATGCACTTGTTTGACAAAGACGAAACATTACTAATTTTGTGAAATTAGCATATGAATCGTATTTCGATATTAAACTTGGTGACTAAGACAAAAAGTGGGCTCCACATACTCTATGCCATATTTGCGAAGAAAGTCTTTGAGATTGGACAAAAGGAAAAAGAAATAATTTACCTTTTGGAGTCCCTATGGTTTGGAGGGAACCACTAAATCATATTGATGACTGCTATTTTTGTCTTGTTGATACTAGTGGTGTTGGCAAAATTAAGAGACAAAAAATAACTTATCCTAACATTTACTTCTGCTATTAGACCAATTCAACATTCTAACAAGATTCCATTTCCAATTTTCTAAGGTTTATTTTTGTCAGAATATGAGCAAAGCGTGTCTGCTACAGAAACAGAAGAATTTTTACCAGATTTGGAAGACTTCTCATCTAATATCTAAAAACAATTCAGTTTGCCTCAGTGTTTTAGTCAGATAGAACTGAATGACTTAGTTCGTGATTTAGGACTTTCTAAACAAGCAACAGAAGTATTAGTGTCACGTTTAAAAGAAAAAAACCTACTTGATAACTTTGCAAAAGTATCTTATTTTAAAACAAGAGATAAAACTTTTGTTGACTTTTTTTCAGAAGTCAATTTATTTGTTTACTGTCATGATATTTCAGGTCTCCTACTACAGTTGGGTATTTTTGTATATAATCCAGCAGAATGAAGACTTTTTATCGATAGCTCAAAGCGAAGCCTCAAATGTGTTATATTGCACAATGGAAATATTTTTGGTTCTGTACCAATTGGTCATTCTGTTTATTTGCGAGAAACTTACGATGACATTAAAATGGTGCTTAACTTGATTAAATATCATGAACACAACTGGATTATTTGTGTAGATCTAAAAATGGTTAACTTTCTACTTGGTCAGCAGAAATTTTACAAAATTTCCATGTTATCTCTGTATGTGGGACAGTCGAACAAGAAATCAACACTGGATACAAAAAGAATGGCCCATTCGCAAGACTCTCACAGTGGGCATGCAAAATATTGTGAATGAACCGATTGTTAGTCAAAACAAAATAGTTTTTTTACCACTCCATCTTAAACTTGGATTCATGAAACAATTTGTTAAAGCACTAAAAACTGATAGTGATTGTTTTCAGTATATAGTTAAATCATTACCAGGATTGTCAATAGAGAAAAAAAAAGCAGGAGTTTTTAACGGGCCACAAATTTGCTATCTTATAAAAGATAAAGAATTCATTATCACGATCAATATCAAAGAGAAAACGGCTTGGTTAACGTTTGTGATTGTTATAAAATATTTTCTTGAAAATAAAAAAGCAGAAAACTATGCAGATTTAGTTGATATAAAATTGAAAGCCTTTTGTGATCTTGGATGCAAAATGAGTATAAAGCTTCATTATATAAATAGTCATCTTAAGCAGTTTCCTGAAAATCTTGGAGATGTGAGTGAAGAGCAAGGAGAACAATTCCATCAAGATCTTAAGACAATCGAAGATCGTTACCAAGGATGTTGGGACATACACATGATGGCAGACTACTGCTTGGGCATCAAGCAAGAAGACACAGGAAAAGCTTACAAACGAAAGAGCAACAAGCAAAAGTTTCTTCCTGATTAAGTAGTTGTAAATAAGCAATATAATCTGCAATCTTTTTTAAAACGAAAGTAAAAAAGATTTAGATCTTTCACTAAAGTAAAAGATTTTTTTATTAATCAATAAAAAGTTAATAACTTTGCTAGGACTTAGATATTTGAAAAATATTTATTTTAATCAGTTTACATTTAGTTTCATTTGCTTTCTGTTTTTGTTTTAGTTTTGTAAACAACTTTTATTCTAAAAAGTATATCCTAGCATTTCCAAATGAGTTTTAAATCTGCATTTTAGAACTATTTCTACTGTTTTGCAAAATTAAAAAAATATAAATTGCAAAAAATCTGTAGCTTTCCATAAAAAATGAATGCTAATGATTTATCATCTATTTCCATAAAAAATGAATGCTAATGATTTATCATCTATTTGCTGATGATAAAAATCTCTTGCATATCCACAAACTGTATGACTTATTAAGTAAAAATGTAAATTCGAATCTAAAAGGCATAGTTCAATGGTTAAATGCTAATTTAATATGTCTTAACACCGAAAAAACTTTCGAAAATAAAATATTTCTAAAAAAATGATTTGAATTCAGCGTATCAAAATTATGTAAAAAAAAGTGTCTACAAAAAATAAATTTTTTGTAGACCTATGTAATCAGTAACTGAGAGAACGGATCAGGGCCAATGACACCAGAGGGGGCACATGCCATCACAGTGTAAAAAAAATCAAATATTAAAACCATTAAACTTTTAATCCTGGTTGTTTTTAAAACCACTTATCTGTTATAATTATTTACGATTGTGCCCTCCCACTTCAAAACCCGTGTCATCGGCCATGCTGATAGTTGTGGCAGTATTTTTTTAAAAAAAAACTTTTTAAATGCTAAAAAAAATCTATAAAGGACAAGACACATAACATTAAAAAAAAAATCTTTAAAAAGATACAATCAGCATTTGCTGTACCTACAAAATAAAATAAATTTTTTTACAATAACAATGAATAAGAATTTCCAATTCTTGCACTTATCAAAAACATCATTTTTTTTAATAAACTTTTATAAAGAAAGATTTACCCGGTAGAATACGATTATTAATAAATTTGAGCAAATCAAGATCTATAACACGAAGCTCTTGTACTATTGTGATATGTTTATACTGGTTGTGTCCGTCATTCAGAGGATTGAATGTTCCTAAATTATTAAAAATAATTACTAAAGTAATTTCCTAAATTTCATATAGCGGACATGATTCAGCTTGTATACAAACTTTCAGAAGCTATTGTCAAAAACTCCTTACTAATTTATTTTTTAGGCTAAAAGGGGAGAGTGGGGGAGGGGGACAGGGAGTAATTTTCATGTATTTAAAAACCTAGGATTCACAGAGCACCCTTGGAGTATCTTTTATTAAAGTACTTACCCTCTGAGTCTCTCAACATTATTAATTATGGGATTTGATAAATTAAAATCTGTATCTATAATCTGTACTATACTATTTGCAAAAATCTTTTAATAACTAATTAATTGAAACAATGGACTTTATTACCTATTCATTAACTAAAGGAAATGCATTTGATGTAGTATTCATGGATTTTGCCAAAGCCTTTGATGTTGTTCCGCATAGGTATTTAATTCACAAGTTGTCAAATTATGGAACTATTGGTCACACTTTAAAGTGGTTTGAATCTTTTTTAAAAAATCGTTGACAAAAAGTAGTAATGGCAGAATTTTCATCAGAATGGGAAGAGGTTCAGAGTGGTGTACCGCAAGGATCTGTTCTAGGTCCTATTTTATTTATAATATATATTAATATAAAATAAACTGTAAGCTGACGATACTAAACTATTAGCAAAAATAAATAATATCAACAATATAAATGTATTACAAAATGACATAAATAAAATCGCAAAATGGTCCTAAACATGGCTTCTTTCCTTGAATGAGTCAAAATGCTAAGTAATGCATCTCGGCAAATCAAACAAACATCATAACTATACAACTCTATCAATAGCAAATGAAATAACAAGTATAAGCAGTACAAACGATGAAAAGGATTTAGGTGTTATTTTATCTAGTAAGGCAAAATATCATAGTCAAGTTATGTATGCATCAAATAAAGCAAATTAAAAACTTGGAATGTTAAGCAGGACTTTTACCTATATGGATAGCAAACTTCTCAAAACATTGTTTACAACGTTTGTGAGACCTCATTTGGAATTTGCAATATCGGCGTGGAACTCCCACCAAAAAAATGACAAAATTTTAATCGAACAAGTACAACACCGAGCAACTTGTTTGATTCCATCACTCAGAAATTGGATTACAAAAAAAGATCAAAAAATATGGATATTCAATCTCTTGTTGACCGTAGAGTTCCAGGTGACCTAATACAGTGTTTCAAAATAATAAATGGCTTCGATATTGTAAATTGGTGTAACGTAAATTCGCTCTCTTATCCAAGAAATTTTAATCAAAGTCGAATGCAAGGTCATAACTTTAAGCTAGTTAGAGAGTTAATTAAAAACAATGAACAGCGTCATCAGTTTTTTACAAATTGTGTGGTGAACACTTGGAATAAATTGTCTAAAAACATAATCAGTGCCACAGCTGTAAATAGTTTCAAAGCAAGATTGGATAAATTTTTCGAATCGGAAAACCTTGAAGATGATTAGCGATGAAATTTTATTTCCATTTTATTAACTATTTAATTATCAAATTTTAAAATAATTTGTAAATTTTTATGTAGGCCGCCAAAACCAGATTTGGTTACACAAGCTATAGCTTGTTGCGGAACAATAAACAACAATAATAATAATAATAATATTTTATTCCTTATAAGACTTAAATTTTTTTTGTAGTGCTTATCAAAATAGTAAGTACTTTATAAAAAAAAGGTGAAAAAAAAAATGAATTTTTTTAACTAACATTTAAATCACATTTTTTCAACATTATTATGTAAATATTTTCTCAATACTGAACAATAGTTATTTTTTCAACACTGAACTATAGATATTTTCTCAAATTTATTTACTAACAGTTGTTTGAAAGTAAATTTTCATGAATCAATTTTATTACTCAGGTCTATCAATTTTATTATTCAGGTCTATAATTTTATTATTCAGGTGTATTCAGGTCTGTATATGATAGCCTAAATAATTAGATATATATAAAATTTACAGGTGTTTATCATGCTAATACTTTCATTACTAATTATTTTAGTGTAGCATGTTGGTATTTAGATAGGTAGTAGCATAATTTAGCTTATTTAATTTAATTTATTCTTATAAAAAGGAGGTTTGGTGTCAACTAAAAAAATTAATAATTATAATAATTTTATGATATTATAACATTAAGCCATTTTAATCTTATGATACTCTAAAAAATGTAAAAAATTTAGAAAAACTTTTTCCAACTAATATTATTTCTTATTCCTAATTAATTTTACTTAAATAATGTAAACTTTTAATAACTTAAATATATATATATATATATATATATATATATATATATATATATATATATATATATATATATATATATGTATATATATATATATATATATATATAAAATACTGTTTCATTTATCAATTTTTCTTACATGCATTTATAACTAATGTTTGATGCGTTTATAACTGATCAATTTAATTAAAATCAAAAAAAAAATCAATCTAAATATTTATTAATAATTTTTAAAATGTTGACAAAAAAAAGTGGCTTACCACTTGTTCCAAAAAGTATGAGTGTGGCTTCATCTTTATTTTTCTTAGTATCAGCAAATATCTAAACAAAATTTTATTTTAATTATTATCAGCAAATATCTAAACAAAATTTTATATTATTAAAGTAATAAATAAGCAAAAAACAATAGTACAAAAATTTTTTTAATCAAATTGTAAAAATTCATGTGTTAAAAAAAACACACTGTGAATTGTGAACAAACACAAGAAAAATTGAAACAAATAAAACAGAATGTAAGTAAAATAAAGACTTAAAGATTTTGAAATGACTTTCAATAAGATGCATGGATTTATATTTCAATATTAAAAAGTTGAAATAGAAACATTGCATCAGAAATATAGCATTAAAAACATTGCATTAAAAACAAATTGAAATAGAAACATTGCATTAGAAATATTGCATTAGAAACATTGCATTAAAAACATTGCATTAAAAACAAATTGAAATAGAAACATTGCATTAGAAATATTGCATTAGAAACATTGCATTAAAAACATTGCATTAAAAACATTGAATAAGAAACATTCCATGGATTTATATTAGGGATGTACCAGAATTCCAGACGGAATATGTAATTTTTAGGTCAATTCGGTTCTGGCCGGAATTACAAAATTTCAGGCCGGAATGACAGAATTTATTTAATAATTTTTTTTAAATAAGAAATGTGATAGAGACTAAATTAAATCAAAAAACCTACAGAGCAATGAAGAACTATATATAAACCTAGGTAAAAAATACAAAGTTCTTAACAAACAAGATGTAATGGTAAAGCTACAGTTAAGCGGTCTAAAATAGCTTTATTTTTTTGCTTGTATCCCTCTCATCAGTAAAGGATTTTTAAACACTAAAAATTTTATTTTAAATAATAAAAGAAAAAAATTTGCTGTCTTATACCAAACCGTCAGTCAATGTAGCAGCTCTTCTTGTAGCAGCTATAAGATAGTACTAAAACCAATAAATATTCTATATGTTTATACTTAAAAGCCACCACTTTGCGTCTCCACAAGAAAGCGCAACAAGCAAAAAAATTATTTAAACTGCTCAACTGTAGCTTTCCCTTTTATTTGCAGTAATCACATACATGGATTTCTAAAAGTTTAGGAATATGGTGGTGTAAAAAGAGTTGCTATTTAGTTTTCTTTTTTCATTAAAAATGTTACCTACCTCTGAGAATAGTCTAATTTTTATTATTTGTTTAATGTTAACTTTTAAATAGTTAAAAAGTTTAGAATGCCTGACACAGTAAATACTTATATAAATATAATACTTATATATATAATACAATACTTATATATACACAACACTTATACACTTAAATATATATATATATTAGGGCTGTCCAAAAAAAAATTTTTTTCAGATTTGATTGCATAGTTGTTTATTTTGTGCCATTTGACATATTAATTAACTGTGCAAAAAATCTTTCCGATCAGATAATGTTTAGGGGGTGCTCAATGACCATAAAGTTTTACGAAAAATGTGAAAAACATGGAAAAAGTAACAAAGTTCCACAAATTTCTAAAACCCGGTTAATTAGATTTTTCAGATTTGATCAGTTTTAATTATCTCTAAATATTAAATTCTGAATACAAATTACAATCCACATCCACTTTATACTGGTTTATTAGCAGAGAAATTAATGAAATAAAATACTGCAATACGACTAAAGTTCTGCGGTTTTTGTTATATCAGAATTTTTCCAAAATAAAACACTAAGATTTTTGACTCTTTGTCATTGATTAAAGTACGAATTATAAACAAAAAAAATTATTGTAAAGGAGTAACAGTTTCTCAAACCATTATCAACTACTAAGTAGGTCAACTCAAAAACACATGAGCAATTAACATTTAATTATCGTAATGTTATAATTCGTGCAATGTTAATGCTAGCGAGGACTATAACTCTTAAGAGTACACTTTCTGGCATCTGGCACTCGCTTTCTGTGATTCTCAACCACCTGAATTAACCTCTGCATTTCAGATTCATTCCTTGTAATCGATTCATTAAACATCGACATTAAAGCCACAGATCGTTCGGCAGCATCATTTACTACTTTCAATGAATATACTAAATTTTTTCCTTCTTGGTATTCTGGGGAATCATTCCAGGTAGCTGGATCGTTGTTGAACAGAAAATCAATATCAACCTTCATTGACCGCAACGCACTTGCTGAAACTGATGTCACCAGCATGTTCAGAGATTTCTTCTCTAGACTTTCAATGTTCTTTAATTTGATCAACCTTTCAGACCAGTTCTCACTGTGAAATTTCATGTTGGAAATCATTTTTCGCTTCTCTATTATTTCAATGTTTGATCGATGATAGGTTCGTTTTCTACGGACTGTAGAACGTGACAATGATCCATCATCGAGGTTCTGTCCACCAGCCCTTGCAATTGCTGCTGCTAGTATAGTAAATTTTGTGTCAGATAGATTAATTCTGTCTAATGTTGATGAAACATCAGGCGAGTCAAGAATTGTATCTAAGATACATTGTCGTTTTGGAGTACTTGCTAAACTTGATTCAGCTGACCCTGAAGAACTTGCTTTACTGACTTGTTGTCTGTAATAAACAGGGATTTCTATCTCAAAATCTCTATCAACCATTTTGTCATTATCAACAGCATCGTTATCGTTGTCATCACTATAACTTTCGTCGTGTAAAGGTTCAATAACAGGAACTATTGCACTCGCACCAGATTGTCTTTGCTCTTCTTTTAGCTTTCGTTCTCTCTCTGCTTGTTTCCTTGCTTCATTTCTTGCTTCTAATTTTGAAAGTTCTTTGTCCTCTCCAAACATCACCATTTTTCTCTGACATCTCTGATCCAATAAAAATTCTTTATCTTCTTCAATTCTGATCATGGTTTCAGCATCCTTGTAGGCAATGTCAAAAAGTAGGCCAATGGTGTCTGTAAATGATTTCTCTCTTGATTTCTGAGAATCTGACAATCTGAATTTTTTTTTTTTTATTAATTTAAATTCCTGGACTAAAGTTTTCAACTTTAAGACTACATTCGGATGAAATGCTGTCGGAATACGGGCTTTATTCCAAATAATAATCAGTTCATCAACAGTTGTTTTAAGACTTTCAGGCACTGACTTTTTGGTTGAATTAAGATGATAAAAAAATGTTTTTAAAACATCAGATGTTAAGGGAAGAACTTTATCTGGAAGATTTGGCTCTGGTTGTCCAATTAAAAAGATTTCGGTTTGAAGTCGTGTAGAGATAGCAACACGAGATGATGCTGCCATTTCAATGATAACTGAAAAATTATGAGAAAATCAAAACTCAATACCATATTATACAAACTTATCATTCAGTTGTTGGTTTATGCAGCTGCAGCAATATATAATAATAATTATTACTAAAGAAATTAAATAAATATTTTCAAATTAGAAATTATTATTATACTTGTAAACCTTTTTATTCTGTTTGAACAAATTCTAAATTGAGTTAAATAATAGTATTAAAATTATGAATACAAATTTTAACAAAATGATATAAACACAGTTGTTTTAAACACTAGCAGACATTTTTTAGTCTGGTGCCCTGATGACAGTTAATCTGCTGCACTTTAATTAATCTATATAGCACGCAATCAGACAATATTTCAGTGGAAAAAATCTAACTAACCAGGTTCTAGAAATTTTTGGAACTTTGGAACTTTTTCCACGTTTTTGACGTTTTTCGTAAAACTTTATGGTCATTGAGCACCCCCTAAACATTATCTGATTGGAAAGATTTTTTACACAGTCAATTACTATGTCAAATGGCACAAAATAAACAACTATGCATTCAAATCCGAGAAAAAATTTTTTTTCCTGTGTTCACATGAACAGCCCTAATATATATATATATATATATATATATATATATATATATATATATATATATATATATATATATATATATATATATATATATATATATATATATATATATATATATATATATATATATATATATATAATATATATATATATATATATATATATATATATATATATATATATATATATATATATATATATATAATATATATATATATATATATATATATATATATATATATATATATATATAGATATATATATATATATATATATATATATATATATATATATATATATATATATATATATATATATATAGATATATATATATATATATATATATATATATATATATATATATATATATATATATTACTGTACAGTAAATATTTTAATTTTAACTTAAACGTAAAAATATAAAACAAAGAAATATACTGCATAAAAGGGAAAGTCTGTACCTCAGCCACAATGCTGAGGTGCAGACTTATCCTTTCAATCTTTAAGGTAAAAAGTTATATAAATATAAATCTCGTACCGGCCGGAATTCTTGCCGGACATATTTTAACAATTCCAGCAAATCCGGTTTTGGCCAGAATTCAATTTCCAATCTGGTACATCCCTAATTTATATTTCAATCTAAGAGTTGAAATACAAAAATTGCATTAGGAACATTGCATTGATTTATATTTCAATTTTATTACTAATTGTAATAAAATTGAAAACTGTAGAAAAAAAAAGTTTTTTGACTCACTTTCTAAAACTTTCTAAAAAGAAGATTAAAAGAATGAGAAAGTTCAAAAATTATATAACATCTAACAGGGTATCTAATTATATAACAAAAGGGTATCTAGTGGATTAGTGACATTTTCAAATGTGATCAAACATGAAAATGTGAGCAAATCAAAAATATTTAGAATTCTTTTTTCATTTATTAGCTTGTTGCAATATTATTATGAATATTTTATGCTGTGACATTTACATGTTACATTTACAAATTAAATTTGAAAAAAAAAAACATTTAGGTAAAAAAAACTGTTAGGCTCATTTAATCACATTACATATATTACAATTTATTATATCATAAGTATGTCAAAATAAAGAAACAAACATATTTATGTCAAAATAAGGAAACAAACACATCTATGTTAAAATAAGGAAACAAACACATTTATAACAAAATGAGAAAACAAACACATCTAGGACAATTTC